AAGATTGCTACGCGCAACTAGCTTTCACTCCTATGAAAGCAATCCTAGTTAAATATTTGTGGTGAAAAAGTAAAAAAATTCATAAATACATTAAAAACTGCTTTTTCAAGTTTCAATTTGTAGCCAACTTTTGACTGCCTTTATTAAGTATTTTCAAGAAATACATAGCCTATAGTAGTAAATTGTATGACATTTTATTCTCTTTCAAAATACAGTATCCCCTGTCAACCAAATTCGGGTTAACCGAAACCCGGGTTAACCGAAATGGTTAAATCAAATAATATAGGGCTGTAAAATGCTTTAATAACTTCAGTTGTCTGGTGTAAAGTATTTTCTATCCCATTGTAACGTTTTTGTAGCTGAGATGAAACACTGAATTATATAGACATTCTCTTAAATTCATTTTTCCTACACACTGTGGTGATACATTGGCTATTTTTAGCATATGGTGGGTTAACCGAAAAATTGATTATCCGAAACGGCTCTCCCCCTATGTTTTCGGTTAACCGGGTTTCTATTGTAATAGCTGAAACCCGTTGTAATCGACGTTTAATTTCTAGGCTTACGCTAATTCATCTAACTGTGATAAATAGACTGAAATTATACAAATTTTAAGCATTTAGCATTGTTTAATGAGTAATAAATGTAAAAACAATAATGACTATTGGCACTATTGCGTTAGTTACAAAATATGGTTGATCATTCAATGAATAAAATATTTAGTTTCTCTTCTTTTGGAAGAACCTTTAAACATTATTACAATCGTATTGGTAGATCTTTTGTGGTAAACACTTCCGTGATTTCATCAGTGCAATGCAGATTAAATCTATGCTTTTATTTGAGGAAAAATATCTGTTTGTTGAGAAGGCACGTTCTTACTTCAAAGATACGTCCACCCTTTTAGCTGTGTAAGTTTGATTTTTTTCTTCGTCACGTCGCGTCAGTTCATATCGTACTTCTGAGCCAATGAATTCTGACCCTCTAGCATAGTTTGAGAAATTGGTTGTGGGGTTTCTGTTAGAGCTGGAATTCCTTGACATGCGAATGTCAGTTGTCTCAGCCTTATCAATTACATAAAGTTGTCAATATAATCTCTCTTCGGAATGATAGGTGTGTGGAATACATTCTTTTAGTGAAACTGGCTTTTATTCTTAAACTGTTCTGGCCTCGTTCCTTTGGTTGATGTTGATTGTAGTGTCCAATCGAAATCGATCACCACTCTTACTATCTTTTTTGTATATTTACCGTCTTGTGAGTAACATTAAATATATGTTTTAAGTGTTTTAAGACGTTTCTTTTATTAACTTTCCGTAGTAAACATGTACAACCCTTTTCGTTAGTCTAATAACATTCAAAGGCTCTCTATTAACCCATAACCTTGTTATAAAATCAAGGTCCACCCTGCATGAAATGGGATAGTAGGTTTCTTTTTTTATGTTGTTTGTTATAGTACCAAGATGCTAAATCCAAATTTTTGACCTCAGCAACCTTCCGGATTACCTCCAAAAAGCTTAAAAATCTGCGGAATTTCACACTATTTTTCTTTTTTAGGTTTGTCCAATTTTGACCCTGAAGCACCACTTTTTCATAAAAGACGCCCATTATCATTTTTATAGTAAATTAAATTACCTATCATTTAAGAAAACAAAATGGTTATTACAGGCCTACCCTAATAGTTTTCAAGATATGGCTCAGAAAATGATGGCTAAACTTTCCAAATTTTGAACTTTTTTAAAGTTTGGTTAACGTTAACCATAAAGCATTCCTTTCTCATTATTTTTCATTAAAACAACCATAACTATTTTAAAGCAACATTAAATTACCTACAATTTAAGACTAAAATGGTGATTATAGGCCTAACACTTTGAGAGATATAGCTCTTCAAAGTTCATAAAATCTTCCATAAATGCTTGTATTTTAAGTTTCAAGCTATTCAATTAGGTTGAATCTTATAATATGAACCATAATAAGAATATAAACGAATTTATTTCATTTCAACAACAAATTGTAAGTTTTATCTTACTAATATTATAAATGTGAAAGTTTGTGTGTTTGTTTGTTTGTTAGTTTGAAGTTCGATCACGTATTGACTACTTAGGATTGGGCTGAAATTTGGCATAATGATAGCTTACATTCCCGATTAACATATAGGCATATTCTTATCTCAAAAATCCTTTCAGGCTCCGCCCCAGTGGCTCTGTAGTTCCCCATGTTAACCTTATGAGTATCTATCTAAGTTATATGTTTAATATGCGACATGAAACTTTGTGAACAATAAGGCTTTTTTGTTTTAAGATTTGACCCCACATATTATATAACAAAATGTTCGTCTAGGTGTGTAGATGTGCAAACTGGCTTTAGGTTTTCGAAATATATCTTTTTAAGGGTTGTGGGCTGCCCTCAAAGTTCCTTCCATAAGGATAACATTGTGATTGATTTGAATTATTATATTCTGAAACAGATGTCAATACATTAGTTAAAAAAATAAATCCCAGCTGTTTTATTTGGTTTTGAAATGTAAACAGTTTGCATGTTTTTAAAAATAATTAGAAACCCGGCAAGCGAATGTTACCGGACACGACGGGAGAAAAGTTTTACATTTTAATTTTGTTTAAACATGCCAAGGACCCAACAACAAAGAAATATTGCCGGTCGGACACGGCGAGTCAACATACAGCAAGCAATGCAAAACGTAAGGAACCCAGATCAAGACGAGGAGCTGGAACAGTTAGTGGCAACGTTTACTTACAAAATTACACTGACAATTACAAGAACTCAGCAGCATTCACTTGGCGAGATGGCATTAAAATGTGGTGTGCTACATTTTAAAGAAGAAAAAAGAGGACGAGGCAAAGGATTTTTATCCTGCTGCCATAAAGGAAAAGTGAGTTTACCACCATGCTGAGAGAGCTATTATATCCAGAGCCTACTAAATGGAGCAAATCATTTGAGCAGAAACTACAAAGAGAACATTAGATCGTACAACTCTGCGCTCGCAATGGTCAGCACTCGAGCTAAAATTGAAGAACATAACGGCTGAGGGCTTTTCATGTAACGGGTGACTGCCGGGAACCGGACGAATTTGCAACAGCTGTTACATTGTTGCTACACGTGCAAGGGAGATTGAGGTTATGTCATTGTTTTGAGTGAGCTTTACCATTTTAGTCACGATGGATCAGTGGTCAGTTCAGCATCGTGTTTTTGCATATGACACATTTATTAAAAATGGCGAATCCATTATCAAAACACAGCGTATCTTCCGACGCCACTTTAATATTGCGCCAAATGACACGGTTCCAAACCGGAATACATTGCTAAGATGGGTGCACAAGTTCAGAACAACAGGAACAGTATCAAGGAAAAAGCCACCCGGTCCAGCAAGAACAGTGAGAACACCACACAACATCGCCACAGTGAGAACTGCTTTGATGAGGAGCCCGGGTCGCTCTGCACGAAGACACGCACAAGAGCTACGCATGAAGCGCGATTCTGTCAGAATAATTTTAAAATCAGATTTGAAATTTCATCCCTACAAAATACAGGTGGTACAGCAACTGAAAGAGTTACTATGGACAAAGAGAAGATTTTGCAGTACGTATGCAGGTGTTGTTTACTGATAATCCTGATGTAATGATGTTAATGAGCGACGAAGCTCACTTCCACTTAAACGGTTCAGTGAACAAACAAAACTTACGATATTGGGCTCCTGAAAATCCATGTAACTTTCATGAAAAACCACTCCACTCTCCAAAGGTAACGGTTTGGTGTGCTGTAGGCCACTTTGGGATAATTGGTCCGTATTTCTTTGAGCAAAATGGAGTCACTGTGACAGTAAATTCTGCACGCTATGTTCACATGTTGGAAACATATCTCAAGCCACAACTTCGTAGGCGAGGAATAAACGTGAAAAATGTTTACTTCCAACAAGATGGGGCCACAGCGCATACTGCCGCTGCATCGATGCGAGTTGAGAAGAAGATGTTCCCTGGCAAGTTGATTTCACGTTTTGGTGACGTGCCGTGGCCGCCGAGGTCACCATATTTGTCGCCCTGTGACTATTTCTTATGGGAGTAATGGGAGTTTGAAAGCTCGTGTCTATGTTCACAAACCACCAACATTATTGCAGCTAAAAGATGCAATCACCGAAGAGGTGAATTTGATTGGACAAGACATGTTGATGAGAGTGCGTAATGATTTTCTCCAGAGGTTGGAAACCTGTATCCAGGTTAACGGCCATCACATGCATGATATCATCTTTAAGAAATAAACCCAAACTAGGATAAAAGGAGGTTCCATAAAACATATGTTTTTTGAAATGGTATGTTTTCACCAATATATATTCAACAATTAAATAATTTTACTATATAAAATAAGGTTGTACTATTCATTTTAAAAAAGTCCGGTTCCCGGCAGTCACCCTGTATAAGGCGCACGACACAATTTATCACTCAAATGGCACCTTACAACCGTCAGAAGGGGAGCATCCCACTTTATGCACAAATTTATATCTACGACATCGAAACCGCTGTTCAAGAAAGAATGGTAAACAAAGCTAATTGCTCTTGCAGCACTGAACTCATGCACATTTTGACTCAACATTTGGTTAATATTAATCCATACGCGCAAGTTTTCAGCATGATGAGCGCCGTTCTTCAAAATACTCCTACTGAACAGCAAAAAGAACTTAGAATGAATATAGCCAACGATCGAGCTCAAGACCAACGTCGATACAACGACGCAACTTCTAACGACGTTGCTATAATATCCTAATTTATTATTCGTGCGAATTCGCACTAGTTCACCTAGTTCATATTTAAAGGGAATAAAAGAATTTAGTCAGCTGTTTCAAATAAAAAAGGTTTGTTCTATAATATGCAAAAGCACTAAAAAGTTATAAGATTTACAACAGGGCGCAGCACTATTTTTTTTGTAGAACAATTAGGCTATGTACTCATGTAGATAGATAGACAACTGTTGACTGGTAGTGTTGTGACACGCAGGTGTGCAGACACGGAACGTGTGGTGTGCAAAGCGGAAGGACTCAGCTGAGGCGTCCCGAGACTTGTGCAATGAAGTGCTAGAGCCTCCGTCCACCCAGCTGTGTGCCCCAGAGCCTTGTGCCCCACAGTGGACCACAGGTGACTGGGGACCATGCTCACAGCCCTGTGGCACTGGGGGCGTACAGACCAGACAGGTATCACTAGCACAATGCTCAGTATATTTCCAAAATCATTATCATTTTCTAATATTTTGTGGTCGTTAATGAAGGAATTTCCTCTATCTGTATCATTTCTCAACTGTTTATGAAACAAACACTATGATATTATTTCAGACTTAAAAACATATTTATTTCACTAAAAAAATACTAAAACATTATCAAATGACAGTTTTTGGTGTGACTTAAGGTAATCTGTGAACAAATCATCAGCGGAGGTCGCAGTTCCCTGGTGAATGCGTCGGCGTGTGAGGACACACTCGGACCTGCTCCCCCCACCACTCAGCCTTGCCCAGAGGGAGCTCCTTGCCCCATGTGGCATATTGGCCCTTGGAAACCTGTAAGTACTCCCTGTAAGTACCCTTGTATTTTATTACTAAATCAACTAGATCCAAGTTCAGTGATGTTATGGTTCCATCAGGTTGTTTTGAGAAAACGGAATAAAAACCGTTTTGCATATCATTTGTTCAGGAACGCTAACAATATCATATCAAACTAACAGTGGCGGACTTACTAGACAGATGTCCAGAGTCTGTGATTTGGAAACTTTAAAAATTATTTATTATTCATTAGTTCAATCCCACATTTCATACGGAATCACAGTCTATGGCGGAACAACAAAATCAAATCTTGATAAAGTACTTAAACAGCAAAAAAGAGCAATTCCCACTATTATGAAATTACGAAAAACCATCTCAGTGAAGAATCTTTTTCATAAATTGGACATTTTAACTGTGTATAATTTATATATTCTTGAAACCATAATCTTTTTGAAACAAAGGGAACTAACAACACCCTCCAATTCCGGGCATAACTATAATACTAGGTTAAAAATTAGATTGCCTCAGCATAAATTAGAATATTATACAAAGAAAACCACTTATGCAGGATTGAAATTGTTACAATATTTACCAATAAGCATCAGGCAGGAGACAAATTTCAAAAAATTCAAAAACTTTTAAAAGATTTCTTAGTAAAAAATCTGTTTTATTCATTACAAGAATTTGTAGATAAAAAAAATATTTCATTGGAATTTCCATTTATTTTTCATAATGGACATTTGGGTTATGTTTTAATGTGTATGATTTGTATATAGATTCTGACTCTATTCAGATACATGTATGTTTTATATATGTTATATATTGAATAAAGACTATTTTAATCTTGAATCTTGAATCTACTATAAGGCACACTAGGCACGTTCCTAGGAGCGCCCGCAGCATTTGGAGAGCGGCGCGTCGGGCGGCGTGGCAGCGGGCGCGTGGTGATTTGCGGTGAGCTACTACTCCACTACTCGTACAGTTTAAATTAATTCTTAAGCTACGCGCGCAATAGGGCGACATGGCACGTAAGGGGCAGCCAGCATGGCAATTTTTAAATGTAAATAACATTGAATGTAATATGGGTGCGCCCACTACGGTGGGACGTCCGGCAGCTTCCGCCATTTGTTAAAAAGTCTGAGAGACAGAACTCTAGGACATTTCCGAGCTGCCGTACGGACCGGGTTGGCGACGACACGAGACTCCCCCCATTCAAATTGTTTATTCAGCCATTAAACATTATAGTGATAGGCTATGTCTAATATACATAATTCAATTAAATAAAAATACAATCATCAGAGATTGGTTAGCAATATAATTATACCATGCTTGGATTAAAGTAAAAAAAAAATCAAAACCATGCACATTTGGTGAAAGAAATCAAAATGCAGTTTAAAAAAACACACACCATGCATTACCTAATTACAGGTGGATTTCTGTCTTAAAGAACTCACTAGAGTGATAGAAAGGTGTTTCTAAGAGCCTATTACTTAGAAAAGCTTTGAATTTTGGTAAAGGCATTTGCCTCACTTCAAGAGGCAAATGATTTAAATACTTGCAACCTGTAACAGGAAAACAATTAATACTCAGTGCCTTACAGTAAAAATATGAAACCTATTTCTAGTGTTATGGCTATGTACATGCTGATTCCTTGGTAGGTTTATTTCATTAGACTTAATTTCTAGGAGGCATTGAAAGATATATACATTTATGCAGTCATGACTTTGTTTTGAAGAAACAGTGGTTTGGAGTGCACAAGATGCTAGGCTCCACTAAGTACTCTCATCTTTTGCAGAACCAGAATTTTCTCGACTTTAGGCGAGTGACCCCAGACTCTTTCCGTAGACAATAATAGAGTGGAAAAAAGCAAAGTATGCAAATTGAATGAAATCTTTTGGCAGATAAAAACTCAGTCTTCTCAATAACAATATAACCCTGTTAAGCATACAGCACAGCGACTCAATATGATCTCCCCAGTCAAGATGAGGGTCCAGAGTAAAGCCCAACAACTTTACATATGGTCAGTGCACTCGGCAGACTTTCCCAAACTAAAAGTGATTGCCCGAGTCTTAGATTCATTGAGGATCAATTTGTCAACTTGAACCAGGCAGTAGCAGTAGAGAGAAAACTCATCTCATCTGTGGTTTTTGAGAGCTTCAAGTCAGGATCTTTGGCAAACAAGGTAGTGTCATCCGCATAAATGATAACATTACCTGACATGACACTTCATTGTAGAGATCATTAATGGCTACCAAAAACAATAAAGGGCCCAATATGGAGCCTTGAGGGACACCATGATTAACTGCCAAAGGGGTGGAATTTCTACCATTCCAACATACTATTTGCTGTCTGTTTCTAAGGTAAGATCTGAGTACCTCGAGTGCACCACCCTGCAGGCCATATCTTTCAAATTTTTAAGGAGAATTTGGTGAGAGACACAGTCAAAAGCTCGTGAAAGATCACAGAGCAAAACAATCAAGCACTACCTGGAGAAGGGAATACTGCCGAAATAGTGGATCTGCCCTTGCTAAAGCCGTACTGTGCAGGCACAAGCAGGCGATGGACTTCAAAGTACTCATACAGTTGTTCCAGCATAACAGCCTCAAATACCTTTGCCAGAATGGGAATTATTGCTATAGTTCTATAACTAGTCTTTCGCCTGCCTCACGGCCTATAGGCTCTTCATATTCATTCTTGCCTTAACCACAAAATAATGTACTCATATTGTACTATATGTCTTTCTTGGAAAATGCATTATTTATAAGCGTGCCAAAGAAAGGAAATTTAATATCACTTTTACGTTGAAACCTTTCCTTTTTCGCAAAACACAAAGGGGCCGAAAGGGCCTAGGTGCGGCGCCATGGGTAAGTCCGCCACTGCAAACTAAGATATCATTATATAGCAACACTAAGGTAACAGCAGGAAAGAATGTAATAGAATAACTGCAGGGGTGCAGAATCCCTTTTCCAGAATAGTTTTGGATTATAATTCTAATAAATACGTGATTTAATGTATACCTACTTAAAATATAGACAAAAGTTTGTAATTTTAAAAATAAGTACCCCTTCAGTACTTAGATTCTTAAAGTCGGGACCACATAGGTTTGCAGTTGAGGGAGGAGCCTATTTACCACATGGTTTTGAATGGACCAATGAGAACGGTGCGGTGTTGCCAAATCTAATAATACCAGCTGATTTGAAAATATTGCTTTGTATATTTTAATTAGTGTTGTCATTGGCGATGTGGCAACGTCGCACTAGTCTTGTACTGTAATTGGCTGCCACCAACTGGAAACTTATGTGGTCCCGACTGAAGATATTGTGATCTTAATACCAAAACAATCTAGTCTAAATAAAATTATATTTATTATACTTGGTATTTCCATTATATGGAAAATAATCCAAATGAATAAAAAAAATAATAAATGAATAGATTGGTAATCTTATTTTGCCAATAAACAGAAAAAAGTCCAAAAGTTGTTGTTTGCAAAATGCAACTATTGTTCCCGTTATGATTTTTGAATTAATAATTTGTTAACATAAAACATTTGTTAAGTTAAATTGTAACAAAAACCAATACCAATGTCGTGTTCCAACATTGCTCTTACATTTTTTTTAAATACTACTGTATTGACATTATTATTTTATTTTTTACTTACTGGTCTTGATGTTGGCTGTCTTCAGTGTGACAAGCTATGTGGTGATGGACTGCAGAGGAGAGACGTCATCTGTTTTCACAAGGTGGACGGACGGATAGAGAAGTTGACAGATGAGCAATGCCCAGGACCTAAGCCTGACACTGAGATGCCCTGCAAGCTACGACCCTGTGAGGGGGTGGACTGGGTCACTACCGACTGGTCAGGGGTGAGGTCTCATACACTATGCTGACATGTTCAAATAAACATTATATTTTAGCTCATTTATTTTACTTTACACTTCTCCAAGTCTAATTTATAGATTTTTTTACATATTTGACAAAGTAGTGCAGTAGAGTCTCGTTTATTCAATCATTGGTTATTCGACCCTATGGACGATGGAATGCCAAAAAATCGAGTGCTAATTTCAAGTGGTGTGAGTTGGCATGAGTTTGAAGTGGTAAAGTGATAACACATCACTTTACTCAATATAATTTTAAATAGTAGAGGTGTGCAGGTATCCAAAAATTCGGGTCGGATTCTGAACCGAGCCCAAATTTGATATCCAAAACTATCTGTTATATATCCGACTTTTCGGATAAACTATGTATTTTGACATTTTAAACTTATATCACGATTATAAGGCTGAGACCGAGACATTACCTTGCCGGATCCAGATATCGGACTACCGGATCCATAGGATCTGAGCTAGATTCAACGCCCGATCGTATCCACAAAAAATCGGATTTAGTTTTGATGGATCCGATTTGGTTTCAACAAAGATTCTGGTACAAACAAAAGAGTCTATATCCAAATACGTTACTATCTATTCTATTTAACATACTATCAGTGTCCATATAAAGTATATACGTGACTCTCCGTATCCATATAAGCGACTAATAGTAATACGTTGACGTCCACCAAATGTTCGGAAAGATTCGAATCCAAATTTGTGATGATTTCAATAACGATTCCCAACTCGTCTACGAAGATCGTACAATCGGGAAATTACCGCTATTCTGTTACTGATTGCCGACTCTTCTACGAAAATCATGCGATCGGAAATAAACTGCTATTCCGATACCGATTGCATACTTATTTACGAAAATCGAACAATTGGATTGATTCATCTGCAAAGATCACACAATCCTAAATAAACTGCTATTCTGATACAGATTTGTGATTCATCTGCGAAGTTCACCAGGGGTGGCTCCAGGGATAATTCTTTGGGTAGGCCTGACAAGGATCAAGAAGGAGTTTGTTCGGGGGACGAGAGGTTTGTGGGGCTTCCCCGCAAAAGGGGATAATTATAAATTTTATTTGCAAAATAATGAGTTTGAATGCTTTCCATTTATTTACATTTAATTACATTTCTTTATAATTTTGAAATATCTACTAAAATTTTGGGTAGGCCCGGGCCTACGTGGCCTGCCCTCTGGAGCCGCCTCTGAAGTTCACGCGATCCCAAATAAACTGCTATTTCGATACAGATTCGTGATTCATCTGCGAAGATCGCTCGTTCTGTACTTACCGCATTTGCGCAACATGACAATAATGTCTAAACAGTATGATTTAAATTGGATTTCTGTAAATATCTATTAGGTTTTTTTTATTCTGTTCTTATAACAGTACATATAAGGTTTACACTGAGACATTGCCTTGCCATATAAATTGTTTGTGTCAACATACAAGGTATACACTGTGACATTGCCTTGCCATATAAATTGTTTGTGTCAACATACAAGGTATACACTGTGACATTGCCTTGCCATATAAATTGTTTGCATCAAGATATAAGGTATCCTTTTTACTTTCTCCCCCTATACCATAGTATATGGAGAAAGTATTGTTTTCGTCAAAATTTTTTAGTTTGAGTTTTGAGTGGATATATTCGTTTTGGGTCCCCCTGGACCCAAAAAAGTGGTTTTCGAAGTGATGTCTGTGTGTGTGTGTGTGTGTGTGTGTGTGTGTGTCTGTGTGTCTGGATGTGTACAGAGCTAGGGACTACACCTGTGGTCCGATTTCGATGAAATTTGGTATGTAGGTTCTAATCCATGGTATCTCCAGGCATTTTTTTAATTTTTTTGAAATTTTTATTTTTAATGGGGATTTTTCCCATAAAAACCCATAAAAAACCGGAAAAATCAAATTTTCTCAAAAATGGCCCGGACGATTTTGATAAAAATTATAGTCTGTTGTAGCCCTTTAAATTCTGAACAAAATGGTACAAATTCCATTTCTCTAAAAATTACGGTTCAAAAGTTATGGTAAATTATGTTATTTTCCCATAAAAACCCCGTAAAATAACGAAAAATAGGATTTTAGAAAAAAATCCGGTTTTAATTTAACATAGTATGTTATGGTCCTTAAAGTTTTGATATTTTTTTCATAAAAAAAAATTAATTTTGTATGGGAATTTTCCCATAAAACCCCATAAAATAACAGAAAAATAGGATTTTCCCAAAAACGGCCCGAACGATTTTGATAAAAATTTGGTATGTTATAGTCCTTTATATTCTAAACAAAATGGTACAAATCCCATTTCTGTAAAAATTATGGTTCAAAATGTATTGTAAATTATGTTATTTTCCCATTTAAAAAACCCATAAAATAACGGAAAAATCGGATTTTCACAAAACTGGCCCAAACGATTTTGATAAAAATTTTGTATGTAGTCCTTTAAATTCTGAACAAGATTATACTAATCCCAATTCCGTATATTTACTCTCACCGCTTACACAATATGATAAAGTTTGTTGACAAACTTATGGGAGAAAATATGTGTCAGAATGCTGATACCGTTTATTTTTCTTAAGTTTGACTAAAGGTCCAATTCTTATCCTGCGACTGTTACGACTCTAGTCGCGCGGCTGAAATAAATGACTGCTTTAATGCAAATCAAATGTACCCGATTCATATCGAGCGTCTACAGCCACGCGTACTGGAGCGACTGGAGCCGCGCGGCTGTAACGAATTTTATAGTTTAAACATACGGAGTTTGAGGTATGTACCTTCATAGATCATGGAACTGGTTCGTCACCACCCATACGTTTTCAATACCAAGAACCCCCAATACTTTAAGAAGATGTCTCTGAATGAGAATACTCTTAAATTCCTTTTTTCGCCGTACCAGGAACAATGGATTAGGTTGTTCATTGTTTTTTACCATGCACATTAATATTTCCTTTTCCTCCTCTTCTCAAAGTAATATATTCGCTGCCAACTGTACTTATTCCATGACGGTCAAGAGTGCAATTGCACAAGTCACTAGTCTTGGGAGTCGCGTGAGTCGCGGCATAGGAATTGAGACAAGCGACTAGAGTCGTAACAGTCGCAGGATAGGAATTGGACCTTATGCTCTGAATTTAAACTTCAGTTTTTATAACTGAGCCAAGATTAATGACCCACAATATCACAATTGTGCAGAACTCATATTGTAGTTTGTGTATATAAAAATGCAAATTCAAAGTCAAAGTCAAAGTCAAAATAAACTTTATTCGTATGAATACATAGCAGCATCAGAATAGAGTCACATATAACTAAAAATCACACAATTTCATGCTATATAGCTAAAATACAATATATTTAAAACTATATATGAAACCCAGGCAACCAGTAGTGGAGCCCTCACTTAAGGAAACTCTGAAAAAGAATAGAGAGCTTTATTAACAAACTTATTACAAACTTTATTAATTATAACTTCTCAACCTTAATATTTATTTATTAGGTACCTATTTGAATGTTAAACTATCCGAATCCGATCCTCTAATTATCCGATCTGAAATTTCACTATCTGCACACCTCTAGTAAATAGGTAATGGATTGATTAATAAACAAGTTTAATTTTTTTTATTATTATTTTCCTTATTACCTGACCATTTTGGTTACCCTACCGTGGCTTGGTTTTAGGTCCAATGATCGAGACTCTGTATGAAATACTGTATGGTGACCTACTACAGATTGATATAAGTATCATATAATTGAGTATACACTAAAAATATGTGTATTTATTATTTCATAAAACAATAAACAATATAATAAAGTTCATAAATATAAATCATCTTGACTTCATCAGCTTGGCCCCAAACTTTTAAAAAGCTTTTCTAATTGCATTTTACAACAAAATATTTGTTTATGAGAATATAGAATAAACATGCTCTTTATTTATAACTTTTTTTTAAATAAACAAGAAAAAGAACAGCTATGTATTTTTCTATTAGCTCCACAGACCCATGGGTTACCCACCCTGAAAACTTTTTTTACCAAATTTAGATGTTTTTGGTTTTAAAAACCCCTAAAGAACATAAACCGTTGTTGTCATTAGTCATTGGTGTGTATTTCAAAAAATGTATTTTTATTTTTACAATTTTGTAAAAAAGAGATGTAACCTGTAGGTTACGTTCAAATAGTACAAACATATGTCATTGACAAAACAGGTAAAGGCTCTTAATATCATTATAATTAGACAAAATACTCACCAAAGTATCAAAAAACAAAAATTAAATATAAATAATCAGTAAAATGTTGTTACACACCTGTCAAAAGGCAGCAGCAGTTACAAAAAGTCATAACTAAATTTTGCAGAATCAAAACAGAATTCTAGGGCAAGCTTCAATGTCCCAAAGCATACAAAATTAAGAAAAAGAGACTTTAGGTTACAATGGAATTCAAATCAATGTTGTAAACAAGCCAAGTAACTCAGAGAAATAAAAAGTATACTAGGACAAGCTATAGTCTTTCTAGAGTCATGTATTTTTCATAAATACAATATAACAGAAATGCATACTTTTAGATATTACCTAGTATTTGGAAACATAGAAAGATCACACAAGTCACGGTCCACCATCTTTGCTAAGTTGTAAAAACTAGAAACAAGAGAAACAGACTGCTAAGTTATATTTCTGGCCTTGTAAATCCTGTGACAAGTGTTATGACTATCCAATATGGATGCATTGTGTAGATAAATAAAATAAAAAAGTAACCACAGTGTTACACTGGGTCCGAGGAGGTACAGTAATTGTTTAATTTACTAACAGTGTGAAGACAAGTGTGGGTTGTCGTATGAGACAAGACAAGCCTTCTGTGCCACCGAGAAAGGAGAGATATACCATGACAACTTCTGTCACAAGAGTCAAGTCCCAGAACTGAAGAGAGAGTGTATCGGAGTAGGAGCTTGCAAACATCAGTGGTTTGCTTCTCAGTGGAGTGAGGTTAGTATAACATGTCGATGTATTTAGGAGTGTCTCAGTAGTGCACAGTAATAAGTTATTAAATGTTTCTAGTTTTTTCCAAATATATTCTTTACCTATTACTCTAAACAACACTTCAAGCCCCTTATATTGTGATAAATCTTTTTGGTACACGGTTAACAATAATGCTTTTTTACTTTCCTTACTTACTTAATCCTTAACAATACCGAACCTTTTCTGTGTGACATGTGTGAAGGAGGGATTGTCAAAAAAGGTAGGAGTTATTGTGCTCCTGGTAGGGTGTAGTTCTGGCTCCCGTTAGGATTAATTTCAATTTTCTGCAGTGCTCGGCTCAATGTGGATCAGGAATTCAGACACGGAAAGTGTTTTGTGGTACATTCACTGACGAAGGGGTGGAGAAGGCAGAGGAAGACAAGTGTGACACGGTTCTTAAGTATGAGGACACCAAAAACTGTACAGGGGAAGAGGAGTGCAAAGGCAACTGGTTTGCTGGGCCTTGGAGTGCTGTGAGTATTTCAAATATTTCACTATTATCAAGTGATTTGATTTGACTGTTGATAGATCCCTTAAAAAATCTAGCGTATCTTTAATTTATTCGTTTAAAATTAGTATATTAAAAAATTACCGATATGTATAACTATCTTAAAAGACTTTTTAGTTGAGTAAAATATTTGCATTTGAACTCAATTTTTCTACTTGATATAGTTTAAAAAATGGTGTACACACAAATTTCAAACATATATGTGTAGTAAAACATGCAAATCTTAAGCTTTTGACAATGTGGCTAACACATTAGTACTTCTTGACCTGAAAATTGCAACTAAAAAGTAAAGTATTCGTATTTAAAAAACCCAATTTCTTTACTCCATAAAGTTTGCAAAACAGTGTACAGACCGGTACACCGGTGTGTGTGTGTTCTTTTCCGGGTTCGTTTGGCTTTTCTACCCAACCGATTTTCATGATTGAGGTCACAAATTGAAGGTATGCACGCACGATTTGCCACCAAGCATCGCCATATACTTATCTATAGTCTCACTCGGTTTATACGTAAACGAAATTTGCTCTCCATGTATTTCTTATGGGAGTTAAATTTGGTTTCTCTTTGCCGAGTTCGTTTAGCTCTTCTACCTGACCGATCTTCATGATTGAGGTCTCAAATTGAAGGTATGCACACACAGATTTGCCATCAAGCATCGGCATATATTTATCTATAATTCCACTCGGCTTATACGTAAACTAAATTTCCTCCACATGTATTTCTTATGGGAGTTAAATTTGGTTTTTCTTTACCGAGTTTGTTTGACTCTTCTACCGGACCGATTTTCATGATTGAGGTGTCAAATTGAAGGTATGCACACGCAGATTTGCCATCAAGCATCGGCATATATTTATCTATAATCCCACTCGGTTTATACGCAAACGAAATTTTCTCCACATGTATTTCTTATGGGAGTTATATTTGGTTTTTCTTTACCGAGTTTGTTTGACTCTTCTACCGGACCGATTTTCATGATTGAGGTCTCAAATTGAAAGTATGCAAGCACAGATTTGCCATCAAGCATCGGCATATATTTATCTACAATAATTTTCAAATTCTTACTTCAATTTAAGATGTATTTCACCAGTTATAATTATATAATCCTATATATTTTGTTCTAAGAACCTTCAGTGAAATACCGGCTTTCATTTAAGCTACAGTATTCGTTATTTAAATTGGACAAGTTTCAAAGCAAACGCAAGGTGATCAACCAACATACAAATTATTTTTCATAAGGTTTTTCTATGTTTAAAAATCAATAGCTCCAGTATTTGTATGTTATTTTTTATATGTTTTAGACTCAAAATAATCAGTAAATTATGGGCTTTAATTTGAGCTATCGTTTGAATCAGTTAAGCTCAAGATACTGTATTACTAAATCAAAAATCATAAATTTGATTATTTCTCGGATATTATATTATATTTAAGGCTGCGGAGCAGCATGGGTCCTCTAGTATATATGTGAAAAAACATGAAAAACTTAGCTTTTGACAATGTGGCTTTCATATACTTCTTGAACTAAAAAATTTAACTAGAATTTACAAGTACATAGTACCGTGTTACAGATAATTGTTGCAACCAGATCTGTGCATAAGCCATTATAACGCATGTCTGCTTTATTAAATATTGTGTGAACAATTTTGAGAATCAGAGTACGAATTAAGCAACAGATAATCAATCATCTCTCTTCATTTGTAGGCTTAAGACGCCAGTGTGGTTACATTCTTGGTCTTCTTTATCACTATGAGGATGCCACATACTTGCTTGGGAAAAACCTCTTATATTGTATTGACACGGCCCTCACCCAAAGACCAATAATTAAGAATACAAAATCAATTAATTACTTGAACGAGTAAATAATGGGAGGGTTTTGTTCATTTATACTGATAACATTGCATTTTACCAGGTTTAATAGCTAAACATGTTTTAGTGTTCAAAACCATGTGGTGGGGGACAAAGGACCCGGAAAGTCCTTTGCATGCTGAACAATGTCACAGTTCCAGCCACACAATGCGACGTCAACCTATTACTGTTCGCTAGTGAAGACTGTAACAACATACCATGTGGTACAGGTAATGTCTACAATGAAACAATTATATTTTACAAATAATGTTAGGCCTAAATTATAACCAGATCATTGTGGAATGACAAATGACAAATGACAAATGACAATTCTTTATTGCACATAACATCTGTTAGAGTTATTACAAATGTAATACACAGACAGGTACATTGTCAAGGTTTCTAATAAATAAGTAAATCTAAATAGGTATATAAAAAACCTAGGATTTAGCCAGTAAGTTACCCCTACAAAGCTACAGCATGGTGGAACTGTTTATGTTAGGAGAGGTTGATGAGAGATTGGGTGTCTGTTACCAGGAGTCGTTGAAAAATTCCTCAAGAGTGTAATATGCTTTTTCTACTAAAACTGTTTTGATTTTGCCTGTAAATTTTGCTAAGTTTAATTGCTTTAAGGAGTTTGGAATTTTATTGTAAATTTTTAACCCCATATAGAGAGGACTTGTTTCATATTTTTTTAAATTATGAGTGGGGTATTGAAAAATGTCTTGTCTTCGGGTATTATATGAGTGATTACTAAGATAATTTTGAAACATACCAGGATTTCCATGAACCATTTTTAAAATTTCAAAAACGTATATTGAAGTTAGAGTTAAAATTTTAAAATTTCGAAACAATTGTCTACATGATGTTTTTTTGGGGCAATTTGCAAGAGTTCTGATTATTGACTTTTGTTTTTTAAAAACTTTGTGGACATCTGTGGCTGTCCCCCATAATGTAATACCATAGCTTAAAATAGAGTACACATAAGCATAATAAACATTTTTACATACTTCCAAGGAGGTAACCTGAATTAAAACACTTAAAGCATATCTTGTTGGACTAAGTTTTTTGTTTAGAAAATTAATATGTTCTGTCCATTGAAGTTTACTATCCAAATATATCCCTAAAAACTTTACTACATTTGTGGGCGAGGCAGTAGTTTCTGTTCCAGTGGTTGAATTTCTCAATTTGAAAATTAAAACACTAGTTTTATCTTCATTCAAAAGTAAGCCATTTTTTAAAAACCAATTTGCTATTTCTCTAATTGTTTCTTTGACATCATCATGTAAAATTTTAACAGTACTTCGTCTGATGAGAGCTGTTGTATCATCTGCATAAAGGGTAAAGTTACAGATTTGACTTGAAAAATGAAAAGGTAAATCATTAATATATGTGAGGAATAAGAGAGGACCTAGGATTGAACCTTGCGGAACTCCATAGTTATTATTTGCCCAAGAAGAGTATTTGTTCCCAGAGGCGGTTCTAATTACTGTTCTTTGTTTTCTATCGCTTAAGTAAGACTTCAAAAGTTCAACTATTTGTCCATGAAAACCAATTGCTGTAAGTTTTTTGATAAGAATTTTATGATTAACACAATCAAAAGCCTTGGATAAGTCGCAGAACACACCAGCTGTGCACTGCGACTCATCCAAGGCCTTCAAAGCGCAATTTACAAAGTTATTTAAAGCTGATTGGGTATTTAGATTTTTACGGAAACCAAATTGTTCCTTGCAAAACTTGTAGTTATTTTCCAAAAAGCTAGATAATCTAGTGTGAAGAATTTTTTCATAAACCTTTGAAACATTACTTAATAAAGAGATCGGTCTGTAGTTCTGTACTTCATTTAAACAACCTTTTTTGTGAATGGGTACTATTTCTGAGAGTTTTAGTAGTTGGGGAAAAACACCTTCTGCAAAAGATTGATTAATTAGTGTAGCCAAGATGTTTGATATTTCATTTGCTGACCATTTCAATAATTTAATGGGTATACCGTCCCAGCCACAGGCATTACTGTTCTTTAAACTTAGAATAGTTTTTTTTACTTCAATTTCATTTGTTTGACGAAGATTACCTAATTTTGTCACCTGAACTGTAGGATTGTTAGCATACAGATTGATATTAGCACTGTGTGGCATGTTTGGCAGCTTAAGTATATTGACAATGTTGGAGTACTGATAATTAAACAGTTCCGCCACGACTACAGCATCATCAATAATTTCATTGTTGACCTTAAGTTTAATGTGAGGCTTAACAATTTCACTTTTAACACCTACACCTAATTCTTCCTTTACAACATTCCACATGGCTTTGGACTTATTTTTTGCTTGCATTATATACCTATCATTTGCAGATTTCTTAGCTTTTTTAACAATCTTTTGAAATATCTTTTTGTAATTTTTTACATAGCTTAGAAAATTAGGATCATTACTAAATTTTGCTTCATAATGTAATTTTCTTTTGTTTATTGATGACACTGTTATCCCTAAAGTAACCCACGTTTTTGATTTACTTTTATTTTTTGCTTTAAAAGGTTTAACTGGAAAGATTTCATCCATACTTAATTTAATCTTAGCCAAAAAATTTTTGTAATTGTTATCCACTGAACCATCTAAAGATAAAGACATCAAATTACATCTCAAGCTATTAATAAATGGGGCGATGGATCCTTCAGGAAAACGTCTTCGATAGGATTCTACAGAGTAAAGTAAGAAGTAAGAGTAGTGGAAAGTAAGACTAAGTCAGAAAACTGGTTATTGTTATGAATTCTCAGTGGCGCACTGTCATAGTTGGGGACCTGGGGCGGCTTAGATGAGGGGGCTTTATTACATTAAGACATGTACTTAAAATAATAAATACCATAGTACCCTGTTTAAGTAATTTTATGTATAAATTTTTTTTTAACGGGGTACCGTATTATATTTATTAAAAAAAAGTAACCCTAAACAGTGAACAGAACTAAAAAGAAATATATACATATATATATGTTTTAATGTATTTTGTATCACTGATTAAATGAGCTTGTATGTTAATGTAGGCTACTTAAACTATTTTGAATGTAGGATAATCAATTATTTTTTATTTGAGAAAAAATGGATGATGCTAAATTAAATTTTCTTTTAAGCTTTTAACTTTTTACGTTGGAGATTCGTAATGAGTACGAGTACTCCAAGAAGTAACACAAATCAGGTTTTTTATTGCCACTTTTTTAAATATTTTTAATATTTAAGATATAATACCTCTGTATAAATATTATTATATCATCTTTATATTATTATATTATTTATATGTATTATCTTTATATTATACATTATATTTCGTACTATAATTGGGCCAAACGACTTCTGCGATTGCGGCAAAAATTAACGATATTGTCCTCGGTAACGACAGAATCGTGAGTGTCTTCCGTGTTTGCGGGGTCTTAATCTTCATCTCCCGCTGTCACGTGGGTTGTAGTCGAGATCGCAGAGGAATCGTAAAAATTTCCTATTTACACGGAATTGATATATTCTACTTGCCTAAATCGTTAACATCTCCCGCAATCGCGGGGACATCATTATTGTCCCCCAAGATCGTGGCAAAATCATGAACATGGAACTGAATAGAAAATTAACGAAATCAGAATCAGCCTTGGTCACGAGAAATTCGTAGTTGAGTTCCCTGCAGTCGTCGTGAAGGTAAAATCGTGGGCATCTTCTGCAATCTTAAAGGAATTGTGAACTTATTCTAGATCCACGGTGAAAGAACGAGGACATTACCGTCTATTACGATTGTATCGAAATCCTGATCAACTTCCACATTTACGAGGACATCATTTTGGTCTCCGAATATCGCGGCAAAATCATGAATGTCTCTGTGGTCTCGGAGCAATCATTAACATCTTTCGCAGCTGCGAGAACTGATTATCGTCACCTGCGATCGCTGGGAGTCGTGATTTTCTATTGTGCAATCTTTGCAGACACTTCCGGCAGTCGTGAGAATATAAGTTTGGTTTGGAAAGTTGTAATTCTAACAGATTATTATATTCTAACAGCAACATTTATTTTCCAAAGGAAAAACATTTTTTGAGGCCCAAGTGAGGCCCCTTTCTAGGCCGAGGCCCTCGGCAATCGCCAAGTACGCCGTTAGGGAAATATGGCCCTGAACTGGGGCCTATTTTGGTGTGGGGCCTCGGGCGGACCCCCCCCTAACTGTGAATAATAATTTAATCCTTCAGTGAAAGTTTTAGTAAAGGTTTCTTGAATGTAGTCATATTCTTCAAAAACATCACTTGGCTTTTATATAAACGCATAGATTAAATGTCCTAGATGTACAAGTTTTATTCAGTCTTAGAGGGGTTTCCTGCGATTATCTCAAAGTTAAGTCCATGTTTCCTACTAAAAATGGTAGCACTTCGGCTAACATCCTCGTTCATCGTTTGTAGGAATCTTCATCTTATAGGTGTTCTTCATTATATAGGCTAACAATAATAAGTTCTTAAAAAACATCATCTCTATTTCTTCTAATATACATGGTGGCGTTCTATGACTTCTTTCCATAGTTTGCAAATGGGTTCTTTCAAGGATTGCTAAAAAAATATAGTACTGTGTCAATTCAGTTTTCTTATTTGATAAAATATATCAAATTGTCAAGGCTTTCTCACATTTTTCCATTGTAATATGTACCCAAACCCAAATTCAATTAATTTAATTTCAAACAAATCAATAAAATTTAATGTTTACAGCACGTTTTTCCTAGAATTGCAACTTAAATACAGGGTGTCCAAACAAAACTGAACAACTTTGTTGCACTGTAAATATTTTATTTGAATAATAGGCTTATCCCTCAAACTGGCAATGGGCGAACTATGCAGTGGCAAGGCATTTTTGGCGATTTTGTAGTCATATTTTCAAAAATTCATATAAACTAAACCAACAGAACATTGAACCCTATACTTGAAATTGTTTGTAATGAAATGAAGAATTTGAAAATGGCAACAGAGTAAATATTTATAAAGTAGGCAGATAAAATTAAAAGAATAGTTTTTAGTTTTCAACCATTTATTTGGAGTTTACCAAAACCTTGCAAAACGCGACTATTATAGTCGCTGTCACTATAGAATCCACCTACTGCGACTATTATAGTCACGCTGCCAGTTGGAGGGTTATACCAATTTTAATAAATGTAAAGTAACACATATATTCCTTCACACACAAGTCTTTCTAAAAAATGTTACATGATGGCTTCCATTGTTGGCAAAGAGACAGTCAATACGGTTATCTAACTCTGACCACACTCCATGTCAAATTTTATCATTGATGTTGCTGAAGGCTGCATGTATCCTCAATCTCAATTCCTGAACATTGGAGACTTTCAACTTTTAATCTTGGTCTTCGACAAAACCCCAGACCAATGTTTTTGTTGCAATGTACCATTCAACACACTGAGCTTTCTCTTGCACGTTCATGGCATCTGCTTTACTGTGAGTGACAACAATTAATGAGCTGATTTTTCATGTTGAAAAAACTTTATGAGTTCCTCTATCATATAGTAATTTCAAAAATTATCTGTGGACGCCTAAATAGATTGTAATAGGCTCCAAAGTTATTCAGGTTTTTTTTTACACCCTGTATTAACAGCAATTAAATTATCCAACTGATCATAATGTAAACAAATATGTTCTTCATAAGGGTAACATGGAAACTTTAAAAGCAACTGGGGCAGAGCCCAAGGGACTTTAAACCAAATTTAAGATCAGTTTGCAAATCTACACGCCATGCTCTTTCCAATGTGACGCGAATGGTCAAAATCGGATAAGAAATGGTGGAGAAGTTCAACCGACAAATTTTGTGTTGGCGTATTAATTATATAGTTGATGTTTTTAAGTACAAAATTAGTTTTTACCTCTTCACAATTAAATTGGTAATTTTTTAATTGCCAATCTTGTCTTAACACTCTGAGAAAGGTCAATGTGGGAAACATTAACAGATACAATTACTTTGTTTGATGGACATAGAAAACAAACCCAATAGGCCTATTTTGTGTTTGTAGAAAACTACAATGTTTGCTATCTTCTGCGAGTGATGAAGAAGTAAGGGTATTCCTTACTTTGTGTTGTCCGGCAATAGAATCATTAAAGTAAACAATTAATACCTACCTACTGTTATTTTTCAGTTAGTTTTTTGTAGAAATTTGTAACTATGAGAGCAGTCTGTTGCAGATCAGATAATCACTGTAACACCTGAGCACAAGGTGGACTATGATGACTATGAGGATTACGATGAAGATTGTGAAGAGTATGAAGATGAGTTTATTACACCTGAGGTGAGTAGACCTTCTTTAGATTTAATATTCAAACAGACTTCCATTTTTACAAGTCTATTTAAGAACTTCTCTATGTTAAGTTTTGTGTGTGTCTAGGATTCCCAGTTTACGCAGAATCTTCATTTTTTTAATTGCCAATCTTGTCTAAAACCCTGAGAAAGGTCAATGTGGGAAACATTAACAGATACAATTACTTTGATTGATGGATTTAGAACATTTTGTCATAGGACATCAATGAAATTCTTTTATTTGTTACGTAGCCTTAATTTGATTTGTACTAACAATAGACCAACAGCTAGCCTGGATAATGTTATTGTTAATTTCTCAACAGATATGTATCAGGTAGACTTAATTCATGGATGCCTTGCTGTTCATAGTGTTTTGCTATTTACATTTTTCCATGGCATAGATAAACGAATATCTAATAGTTCTATCAAACAATGTGTTAGAAGGCAAAATGAAGAGGCTATAATATGTTTTATGGAGAGCTTAAAGTCTGAAAAATGGAACATCTTCGCTAATTATCATTGTGGTAATATTAATGAGGCAGCACTTTTTGATGAGTTTCTCAGGAAATATGTCCATTTATGGCACTCTAGCTCCCCCTTAATTAGTATTAAAAATAATAAATCTAAATCTATAAAAAGTAAACTAAATTGGTACAACAATAAATTGAAAAAAACCCAGAGAAAAAATGATGGCAGCCTTCTCAATTTATAAACAATTATTAAAGAATAACTGTTGATGAAAACACTCAAAATGTTTATAAGATCTACCTGAAATGTAAGAAGGAGTACAATTCTGAGCTTAAATTATCAAAAAAAAGCGTTTGAAAAACATATTGAACTCGCTTCTAATAGATGTAAAGCTGCATGGGATGTTATCAATCATGAAAAATCACCAATGTGCACCAAGTCTGTGGACTTAGATGCTGAAAAATTAAATGATTATTTTGTTTATTCAGTTAGGGAGCTGGAAAACAGCATTGATGTTGTTAACAAGATCGCGCCACTCATCCTACACTCATCTCCATTCATACTTGGCTTAAAATACCTACTTTGTATGGTCGCCATTTCATAGAACAGTATTAACAGTATTAACAATAAATGTCCATCGGATTTATTAGGTAGCCCTCATGACATTTTGACTTTAAATTGGATGGAAGTTGATTTTTATTGGCTGTCAAATTATGTTCTAAAACGGACTATACATTTATTAAGTGAACCACTGACTTTTTGTGTAAACAAATCCTTAAAGATTGGCAGTGTTCCTGAGTTTCTAAAAATTTCAAAGGTGATACCAGTGTTCAAGAAAGGTAATAAACTCTTGCCTCAAAACTATAGACCAATATCTATTAACCCAATCTTCTAAAAAATCATTGAATCGATGGTTTATGAACAATTAAATGGGCACTTTGTAAGCAATAATATATTGACAGATTCGCAATTTGGATTCTGGGAAGGAAAGTCAACCGCTTCTGCAGTTCTAAAAGTCATTAATAAAACAATAAATGCTTTTGAGGACAAAGAAACTGTTTCTCTCACATTGTTTGACCTCACAAAAGCTTTTGATTGTGTTCCTCATAACATTTTGCTTAGTAAATTCAAATTGTATGGCATTGAGGATGCACAGTTAGGTTTCGTTCATTCGTACTTAAGTAATAGAAAGCAGTATGTTTCAGTTGGTGGGATGCAATCTGGCTTAAGAGTGGTGGTCCCTGGTGTTCCACAGGGCTCGGTCCTTGGACCGTTTCTATTTCTAATATGTATTAATGATTTGCCTCGAAATGTTGGGATTGACTGTAATATATACAGACTATACTAACTTAATTGCCTCCCATAATACTCTAAATACAATGACCAATGAAACCATAAACCTAGCTTCTGTTTGGTTTTCAGCGAATAAGCTTAAATGTAATCAGGATAAAACACAAAATATTTTAATTGGCCTCTTCAATGAAATTGAAAAACACTCAGTCAAATTGCTGGGTTTTTGTTTGGATTCTAAATTAAAATGGAAAGAACAAATAGAAATCATCTGTAAAAGAAAAATTCCCGTGTCAATTGCCTAATCTGGAAACTCAAAGATTTTGTTAGCCTACTTTTGATTATTTAAGAACGGCATACTTTGCTTTTTTTCAGTCACATATCCTATGGACTAATGCTGTGGGGGCATTCGTCTTATTCAGATGAAATTCTTATTTTACAGAAAAAAGTTATTCAGACCATTTGTGGAGCGGGTCCTGTGGAGCGGGTCCTGTGGAGCACTGCAGACCTCTTTTCATCAGGCTTAGAATTATGACAGTAATTAATTTATACATTTATCAAATTATGCAGTATACAAAAATTAACCTACATGAATTTAATATAAGAAAAGATTTTCATTCTCATAATACAGTACAAGGAATAAACTACAGTTAGACATAACGGCTCATAGACCTAAAAAGATTAGCAATAGTCATAGACTAAACTGCATTATTTTTTTTAATAAATTGCCTGATTCAGCCAGAACTAGAACCAGAACAGTTACATTACTATCTTCCACTCAAAAGCCTCCAATAACAAATTTCTAAAATTTTCTAGGGAGTTGAAGTATTTTCAACAGATTTAGAGGAAGGTTCTGGCTCCTCGCCTGGCCTTGGAGATGCAACTCTATTTACTGCAGAAAGTGATTTATCAAGCCTGAGCTCGGAAGCCATGCTCAGTGACAGTCCATCGACCTTAGGAATCAGTGATACTTCTCTTCTAGTTTCTTTTGGATCATCTGAATATACTGAAGAAAGTGGTTCAGCATCTCCGACATTTGAGGGTAGTGGGGACTCTTTGCAAACAACTTTGCCATCTTCTGAAACTTCTGATATCACTTCAGAGTCAAGTTCAATTGGCTCTTCTTCTGGTTCTACAGAATCGTCTAATACCGAGATGTCATCAAGTGATATTTCTTCCACTGAATCTTCTGATGCATCAAGTGCATCCTCTATTGGGCTTTCAACTGATGTCTCTGCAGATTCTTCAACTGAATCATCAACAGATTCATCATTGATCTCAGAAAATGTTACTACTCCATCAGCAGAAGGTACATCTTTGGTCTCAGAAACAAGTAGTTTATCAGATTTAACAACACCTTCAACTGAAGACACAGAATCATCCACGGAAGAATCTACTCCTACAACTGAACAGTCTTCAACTGAAAGTACAGAGACATCTAATGACCAAACAACAATAAGTTTAAGTAGTTCTGACAGTGTGACAGAAATTGAAACAACAACTGAATTTATATCATCATCAGGTAGTTCATTAGGAGTATCAGACGGTAGTTCCACAATGTCAAGTGAAGAATCAACAACAGCTGATTTCTCCACTGTAATGTCCACATTAAGTTCAGACGTTTCATCATCAGAAGTTTCAACTGATATGTCAAGTGCATTAGAAGAATCCAGTAGCATGTCAAGCGAATCATTGTCAAGTGAATCTGTCAGTGAAGAGTCTAGTATTTCACCAGAGTCATCCTCTGTTGGTTCTTCAGAATCATCCTTTTCTGTGCCATCGGAATCATCTACTATTGTAACATCGGAGTCCTCATTAGATAGTTCTCCATCAAGTCCAGTTTTGACAGATGATTATTCATCTACATCGCCAAGTTATGGGGCCAGCACTTCTGAGCTAATCAGCATATTTTCTCAAGGTAAGAAATGTAGTTTTTAGTATTTAAATTCTAGAGTTTCACCGTCGAGACTCAGTCAAAACCAAACGAAGTATAAACTCACTACCAGTTAGCAACAACTATGAAATTGCTGAATGATAAGATCTAATAGTCTGGAAAACGTTTAGAGCACATAAAAATGAGTGATAGCATTGCTATCACCAACCTCTTTAAAAATATTTACTGGATTGAGCCAAAATTAATTTTTTAAACAGGTTTATGTTTGTAAAACATGCATTTTCTTTCAAAAAACAAGAAATCCCTTTTTTTACTGATCCTAAAAAGCTGTCCAATGGTAAATACATATCATTTTAACTGTGTGACCTTGCCATGGTTTGAAGACTTCATTGCCAAGTCTACGTAGACATTAAGCTTCATTAATCCTCTTCAACCTGGATGGTATTAAGATTCAGGTAGACCACGTAGATTTGACAATGAAGATTTATAAAGTCTTCAAAACCATGGTAGTGCAATCACAAGAACAAGATCACTTGGCGATACAACAATTAAGTAGCATAACCTACTATTGTAATAATCATATGGCTATGCCACAATTGACTTTATAAATCTTAGGGGAGCTCTATACACATTTGAGTTATATCCTGAATTATTGCTTTGTCCTATACCTATAATGTATTTAAACTATATACTTGGTTTTCTTGTTCAAGAATTGACAACTGCAGCCACCAAGGCCAAGAAGAAGATGTGCAAAAGAAGGAAAAAGAAGAGTGCCTGTCTTACGTCAGAATTTGGATGCTGTTATGATAACGTGACTCCTGCCAAGGGGCCTTTCAACAAAGGTATAAGATTGGTAGGCTTATAAAATTTAGTCACTCTATACTAAGAGAATTGTAATATGCAACTATTTTTATGGTGAATTTGTAAATCATATCCTATGGTTGTTACAAAAAAAATAAATAAAAAAACCGGAAAAAGAAGGAATTTTTACTACAAATGTGAAACCCATGTTTTGCATGAAGGATAAAATATGTATTTTCATAATATAGGTAATAACTAGGTTCGTTAAGGACATTTAAAGATGTAAATCATAAAAGGTACTTTACGAGTGGATAAACAAAAGATGTTAGTTAGAAAAAATTTCATATTCATTTGGGGTCAGTCGGCCACGGCAAATTTCACTATATTGGGAAGAAACTATTACCATAGGCAGCACGGAAATTTATACATACCATATGTGTGTGTATACATACAATAACTCGAGTAATTTTGGTCCGATTTTAATGAAATTTGGCATGAATGCATAGAGCTGGATAAACTTGATTTTGTTTATGAACCAGAAAGATTAGATCATGAGAACGAGGTGTTATAGAACGATTTTTGAAGTTTTTCAAAAACAGTTTTTTTACCCTTTAACATGGAAATGCTCAATTTTTATAACAACCATCTTGTAGACCTTAAAATAACCGGTAATCAGCAATCTGACAAATACTTTCTCCGATTAGCTTGTCAACAAGCTAATCTTGGGCTTTTTCATGGGTAAGAGATGAGAGTATAGCTATACTTTTTGCACTATTTTGTTTAGAACTATAAGGACCATAACAAACAATTTCAAACAGAATCGGTTTTTTTTGTGGGTTTTTATAGGAAAATAACATAGGTTACAATAACTTTGAACTGTAATTTTTACAGTAATGGGAGGTTCCACTATTTTGTTAAGAATTATAAGGACCATCACATAGTAACTTCAATCAAAACCGGCTTAAAAAAATAGTTATTTGTGTAAAGCGGTGTTTACACTGTTGTGGGGCCACGGCTAAAGTCAGGCGTGTAGGTGAGAAATTTTCTCACATTCTTGAGAAGCGTGGCCACGCCTCGTGTAAACAGTAGAGACGTGAGAGCAACAGACGTGGCAACCCAATACGCCTGTTCCCCACGCCCTTTGGAGCTAACCAAACCGTGTTTGGTTGCTACGCCTGTTGCAGGCGTGGCTAGACGTGGTAAGGAGTCTTCAATCTCGTCGTTGTGTATACGGTACTACGAGTTTTAATTACTATTGTTCTTTAAAGTCAGTGTTTGTCGTCTTAGTTTGTACCAAGGCGAAAACAAAAATATTTATAACATTGGCATAAGCCGAATCAATTGAATCGGTGAAAACAAAGCAATATTTCAAATTTAACAATAGGTCAAACAATTCGAATGCTTGAACTGTATCAAAGTGAACCTCGTTTATAATATTGAAAGCTGCAGCTTGGTTTCTTTCTTCTAATAACACTTAAATGCCGTGTTTTTTCTTCAGCTAAAATAACACTTATTGTAGCACAACCTTCAATAATTAGTCTGTTGGCACAATCCATAACCCACCCGTAAATAAAAAAGAACACGCCTTTAATGAATACGCTTCTACCAGAAAACTGTTTACACTACACGGCTGCCGTGGGTGTTTTTATGGCCGTGAAATGGATCTTTTTTATGGGTCTTTTTTATGGACGGTACCGTGGCGCCACGGCATTTGCGTACGGCTGTACATTGGCGTGGCGACCACGCCTGTTATGGACGTGGCCCCACGACAGTGTAAACACCGCTTAACTAGTGGGCAAAGGCCTTTTGCACTCGTGTTACACATTATATTTTTCCTACAGTCACTATTAAGCATATAAATAATTAGTCTTTCAAACACTATACAACACGTTTTTAGTTTCAGCTGGCAACACAAATAGGTGCCCTAGAGAAAGTAGTACCCGGTCCGTATCACTCCGCTATTTTTCCTCGGCAAGAAATGTGCTCCGCGACTTGAAAATATAGTTCCGTATGTTTTTGTAATTTGAAGTGGTTTCCGCGCCTAAAAAAAAATGCTTTAAAGGTATTTTCTTGTTTATTAAGATCGTAGGAATGTTTTAACAACGTTTAAAAGAAATGTCCAGAAAGTTCAGAAATACCGAAACTATAAACACGAAATGACAGGTTAAATCGTAGTTATAATAGTCAATCAGCTGCTCATAGTATTATTATCTTTAAGTGTTGCCAACCTATTTCCAAGCGTACACAATTACGTGCATAATAGAACCACGCTGTTTTGTGTTGTTTCGTTGGAATCCTGATGTGCGCCAAAGTATAAACCGTACGACAAAGTATAAATATGCAGCAATTAGCAGCTTTCTGTACTATAAACAGTACAAGGAAGCCAACTTTGTCGGGTGACTGAAAAAAAAGAAGATTTTCTCTTATTTTATAGTTTTTTTTTTATATTGAAAAAAACATAGTTAAGAATAACTTTTGAATTGTACTTTTACGGAAGTGGGATTTGTACCATTTTGTTCAGAATTTAAAGGGCTACATCATCAAAATCGTTCAGCCATTTTTGAGAAAATGGGTTTTTTCTGGGTTTTTATGGGGAAATCACCATTAAAAATAAAAAATAAAAAAAATTAAAAAAAACCTGGAGATACCATGGATTCGTACCTAAATACAAAATTTCATCAAATTCCAGACCACAGATGTATAGTCTGCAGCTCTGTACATATCCACACATACAGACACACACACACACACACTCAGACATCACTTCAAAAACCACTTGTTTATATATCCGGATATATCCACTCAAAACTCAAACTCAAAAATTTTTACAAAAACAATACATGCTTCATATACTATGTATAGGGGGAGAAAGTAAAAGCAAACAATTTTTTATATTGAAGCATTGTTGGACAATTAAAGATTACAGAGGAAACTCAAAAACCTTAACTTATTCTCAAAGAGAAAAAGAAAATTGTTGTAATTTGCTTGTTTATGAATAGCCTATATTTTGATCAATTTGAAAAATTTATTTACTTTATATTATACTATTGACATTTGACAAAAACACTTTTTCCCTTCCTCTTAGCAGCAAACCTAAGTACTCGTTAAATCTAATGTTATTTAAAAGGAATAAATGTGAATTGTTTATGGAAATATTTTAGATTGTTAAAATCCAATCAAACAAATTTAAATTTGCTTAGTCTGCAGGTTTGCTGTGGCAGGGGTATTTTACTTTGGATTAGCACCAGTCAAAAATGTTGACCTTCTGGTCTCAGGCCAATTCTGACACAGGTCAAAATAGAGTTGCTTTGGAAATTATTGATTTGTTATAAATGTCAATTAATTGTTATTCTACAATCACTTTACAAAATAATGTACAACATCCATCTCTTGCGTTTGGGGTCTTGGAAATTGTGAGAATTCTATGTGGTCACAATGCTTAATCCTCAGAGAACCTTTCAACAATCACAGGCATCTTCGGGTCCCAGGTAAAATCAGCTTGGCTCAAAAATCAAGCAGCTCACAGACCTCTAATATAGTTAATATAGTTAATATAGTAATATAGTTTATAAATTACCTGACCTTAACCGCTCTCTCGAGCCAACTGTAGATTTAGCCAGGTCTAAACATTTTGAAGACTTGAAGACCTATAGTCTATCTATACTTATTTAATACGTAAGCAGGTTTTTTGTGACAATTACTCCTCCGAAACTACTGAACCGATTGATATGTTTTTGGTGTCATTGGAAAGACCGTAACATGAAGTTGTGCAGGAAACTTTCTTTTTAGGGAAATAGTTAGAGAGTGAGGCCCTGGGGCCCTTTAAAGTTTCGTATTTCTCCATAAGATTAATATGGGAAACAAACATTGTTATGAAACTCCAGCTGTTGTCAGAAATTAAAAGTGAGAAGAAGAAATATGTTAATTGTAAACAGTCAATAAGTTTGCTAATTTAACAGTTTGCTACAAACATTTACTGACTTGGTTGAAATGAAATATTTACTATTTGAATTTGGGTTGGCGTAAATATTACAATGGAAAAATGCAAGAGAGCCTGGATAATTTGATATACTAAAAATACAACTGAAATAACGCTGTACTGCATGTCTTAGTAATCATTGAAAAAGCCAATTTGCAAACTCTGGAAACATAGGAAAGTCATAGAACACTACCAAGGAGAAGAAATAGAAATAATATTTTTTTATTTATTCATAATCGTTATTATGGACAACCTAATGCAGCTATGAGTAAGGCTATTTGTAGAAAACACTAAAAAACAAGATCAGCTTTTGAAAAATGATAATATTTACAAGAAATGTTGATTATATCGATCTGTTATGTACATCTTGAGTACCGGTAGGCTATTTCCATAATCTTTGAGTAGAATATTTTAAAGTCCTCAGAAATTATGACTGTTATTCGTTTTTAAATAACGCCTGTAATACTTATTGCTCGAATTCGAGCAACAGGTACACTAGTATTATTAATTCAAAGAACAAATAAATAACTGTTTACACCCATCTAATGGTCAGCTGATGGCTGTTGTTTGCAGGATGTCCATTGGTGGAGACATGTAAGGACACTAAGCACGGTTGTTGTCCTGATGGTGTCTCCCCAGCCAAGGGCCCCAAACTCCATGGCTGTCCTCCATCCCAATGTAACCTGACACTGTTTGGCTGTTGTCCGGATGGAGTGAGTATTTCACAAGGCAATGACTTTGATGGCTGCCCAGAGGAACCCACAACTCCTTCAGACTGTAGAACTACAGAGTAAGGAAAATTTACTATAAAAGTGTATCAGTAGGGTTTTCCCCTTCTGTTTTTAGGATAAGTAAGGTGGATTGCAATTTCAAAACTGCTAGGCCATAACTCTACCGCTAAAACCATAAAAATAATAGCTTAGATATTGCACCTTTAGGGTGAGTGTTTTATGTTTGTATGATTAAGTTCTTGTAACTTATACTCAATTCAATTTTAGGTATACAGTACTGTATATGTTAAAAGAGTTTAATTTAAGAAAATCGAGGAACTGGAACTACACCTACCGAGAGTTGTAATATACTTACGATTCCATCCCTCCTTCGATAGACAGTTTTATTGTGATACAGTACAATACCAATCAGTAAAATAAAATAAGTGTTAGTTTTGGTGATTTGTGATCAGAATTAATACAAACTACAAGATCTTTTTAGAGAGAGAAAGCGCTCTAGAACGCCATTCAACTGTCAATAACATAACTATGTAGTTAATAACATTGATTTGATAACGAATCACACTTTTCAATACATATCATGTTAGAACATAATAGGACGGTGCATTGTACGTTTTACACTCTCATAGTACACAGGCTAAATGATCAGTAATATATATTTTATTATTGAGTAAATATCTCAAAAAGAGTGATACAGTATGAGCAAATGGTTCACTTACCTGACTTAGGTTTGGCTGTTGTCTGGACGGCGCTACAGCTGCATCAGGTACAGAGCTGGATGGTTGTCCGGAGTGTGAAGCGTCTGACGTGTGTGACTGCAATGTCACAAAGTTTGGATGTTGTCCCGATGGTCGACAACCTGCTTTTGGACCTGACAAGCAGGGCTGCGATCTTGAACGTAAGTGAATGTTTCTCTTATTTGGATGATTATTGGAGAAAATAGCATTTGGCTTAGGGATACTTTAATGAAGAGGGGATGGACATATAACATTTAATGAATTCCTGGTAGTTGATAGCACCTTATTAGTTCACAATAAAATTAATTTTATATTTTGCTCCTACACACTCAGCTTGCATTCATATTCAGCCTGGGTATGTGTCGCTGTCTTAAATCACTCAAGGAAATTATACTGCAGAAGGAAGTATTATCATTCCACTACTTTCCTCTGAAGAAGCCCTGTTGTAGGGGCAATTAAATATTGAATTGATCATGACATTTTGGGGTTTTTGGGTAAAATTAGTTATATTTCCATCCTGTTTTTCAGTGTGTTCTTTGGACAAGAAATCTTCATCACAAAACTGTATGTGTCAACATCCTAACATTAAAATTTACAAATTTTTATTTAAAAAAATACAGTCATAATTTAAAGCTATCAAGCCTCAATAGCTCGAACTTTACGACTTGATAACTGAGATAAGTAATAACACTGAATGTTTTTGTCGAAGATGAGTTATAACCGTGCATTAAATCAATAAACTCCAACTATGTCTATGTCTAAGTAGTTTAAAAAGTTGACTATTCATAGCAATATTCTAATTTCGTAGAGATTCATTACTTAAAATTAAAATACTCTATGTGGTTACAGTTACAACAGAAGAATCAGTGACAGTTTATGATAACGGAACAGATTGTGAGAACTCAACTTACGGTTGTTGTCCGGATGGAATCATTGCAGCCAGTGGACCTGAATACGAGGGTTGTGAGGACCTTGACACAGCAGTCAACTGCTCAGAAACAGCTTACGGCTGCTGTCCCGACGGCAACACAACTGGTGAGCAATAACACACTTGTCACTGTATTCATATGTTTAGGCTCTTTTCAATCCGCAAGACTAGGTTGTCTTAATCAATCATTTTATCCATGTTTAGCCTCCTGGATTGATAAAGAGTACGGTACTAATAATAGGTTAAATACCTTTTTTCCGTCTTCAATCCTATTCGTATTTTTCTGATGACTATAGTTTCAGGGCAATCAGCCCCATTGTCAAATCTTCTGTCTTGTTAATTACTATTGAAGCATTGGTCGTTGCATTCCACATGTAGTACATACACACACTGTCACATGAAACATATATATTTACACGAAACATTTAACATTTAATATTTTTGGCCGGCCTAAACAAAAATTACTAACGTTGTGCGGAGCGGTACACTGACTGATGCATGTTAGCCAATAGCCTGGAGACGATGACCTTGGCCTTGGGGGAGGGGGGAGATCAGCTGTTTATCACTATTTCTATTGTTCAATGATTCAATGTGATCAAACAGAATGTTGAAGATAAAAGTTAGTTTTTCATTTAACACATTGTTTAGCGATTTTATAAAAAGCTTTAAAAATTTTGTAGCTCTCTAGAACGTTCATCACAGGGCCTTTTTTGCATTTATGTAAAATTTCTAATCCTCTGTTGGAACTTTTTATAGAATGGTTTTCCTTTTGTAGGTGTTCGGCAATCTTAGAATGCTGTGAATGCAATTTAGGTTTAGGGAGATGTTCATTAAACCTTTTTCTAAAGGAATGACCTGTTTGCCCGTAGGAATAACGTTTTTGGATTTTAAATATTTTAATTGCGTGGGAAGTGGAACCCCACAGCTCAATACCATTTAAACCCAAACATTTACAATTATGTATAACATGACATATGTTTACATTCGAAAATTCTGGGACTCAAACTAGTGACCCTGAGTTTTTGGCACACTCTGTATCGGAAAGAAATAAAAATATTTTTACGTTATTCCTTGGGGTCGATTTAGTGAAAAATAATTTGATTTCATCCTTGTACGTTATGCTGTTTTTCCATAATCAATTTCACTAATTTCAGACACCTTGCATGGGACACCCTGTATAAAGAATATTGACTATTATGTAAATGGAGCAAGACTATGTGGTATGTTTCAGCCACTGGTCCTGGACAGCAGGGATGTCTGCCAGCTTGTGCAGAGTCTCAGTTTGGTTGCTGCCAAGACGGAGTTACTCCGGCGCATGGACCTAGCCAAGAAGGCTGTTGTCTGCTCGAGACTTACGGCTGCTGCCCAGACAACATTCTGACAGCTCAAGGACCCAACCTGGAGGGTAAAGTTGTTTTATTAACAGCACTTACAAATAGATTCACTGATTCAGTATGATTGTCATAGCAAACAAATTATAATCATGACCATTTTATCGCTATGCATTTATCATAATAACTTTTGCTTATATTATACCTACTACTGTACATTATAGGTTGTGGGTGCCAATACACCACACACGGTTGTTGCCCAGACAACAAGACAGCTGCTCGAGGACCAAACAACCAAGGTTGTGGATGTCAGTACACCACATTCGGATGTTGTCCTAACCAGTACACTCCTGCGGCTGGTCCTGGCTACCAGGGATGTCCTTGCTACACGTACCAGTTTGGTTGCTGCCCTGACGGCGTCACTCGAGCCATCGGACCAAACCTTCAGGGTAAATGGTTCTCTCTTAATGGTGTTTGCATACCCAAAAAAGTCCATGCTAAATGCTAATCCCATACAAAATCCTAATTTTAAAACAGCAAATATTATAGAACCCAAAATTAAACTTCTGATTGTCTATTTTGCTTCCTCTTGCCTTTTGGCCAAGAAAGCCTGGTATAAGATGGCAATGTTCCTGTGATTTCAGTTTTAATTGTTGTGTGTTCAATTTATTTTTTATTTTTTTATTTTTACTAAATATTAGAATTTACCAAATAATAAGTAATATTAAGGTGTACTAGCTGTTACCCAAGGGCTTTAACCCATTTGACTTCATAAGTATTAATAAAACTATTGATTGGTTATGTTAAGCTGAAATAAACAAAACAGAAAGAATAACATACAAATACGAACAGCTGAGGTATTTTTAACATTAAGTATATGGATAGTTCCCTTTGGAAAGCAATTATGACCTTAAAGGGCAATTTATGAAAAAATTGATAGTTTTGCGCAAGGTTTCTCGTCATGACAAACATTTTAAGTATATGGTTTATGGGGGTGTGACTTGTAGTTTTCTCAAAAGTTCATGGGTACTTTTGGCTTTATATATAGATATACCTCTCGGTAACTAAATGTATTGCTTTAGGCATGATATATCCAGTATTTTTGTCCTCTAATTTGCTATTAGTACTACACACGGATATGAAGAACTTTACTGAAGGATTATTCTTGCTTTTAGAAAACAAATTCATATATTTTTACCAAGCTAAATCCAGACCAGATGGATTTTAATCACCATTGTAGCTGTCAATAGTTGGTTAATTTCAAACTACCTATATTATTGCTTTTTTACTGCTAACTTTTGGATAATGAAGTAGATATCCTATCTATATGAACATAGACTAACCAACACAAGTAGTAGACTTCTTGTCCCATTATTAAATCTAAAGCTTTAAATAGCAAATATGTTTTATTATTTTTCCATGTCAAAATTGTAAAAGAGGCCTAACTCTGCCTGTTGAAATAAAGGATTTTTATACATTTTATCAATTTAAATCTAAAGCTTGTTTTTCATGTTTAGTTTATGTTGGTGACACTGGGCGCTAGTGTCAACAAATTTTTGTTTCTGTTCAAGGAAAGCTCTAGGCCAAGATTTTGAATTGTAGAAAAAGGAGGATAGCTTATACAACCAAACAGTAAAGCACGAATCATAAAATAAATAAAAAATAGAAACAACATTTTGAATTGTAGAAAAAGTAGGTTAGCAGCTAGCTTACCTTGAAGAAGTGTATGTAGGCCAAATAGAACATACAGAATATACACAGTTTTTGAAGATTTTTTTAAACTCTACCACTTTCTGTTAAAAAAATGTTCCGAAAAAGATAAAAAATTATTATAAAGCACTTTTTTTTAAAACGTATGCTTTTAAATTTTTACTCCATGTATGTCTGTTGGTAACACATAATGTCCTTATTTCTCAGTGTTTCGTGGAAAAGACAAGAGCACCTTTGTTAATGAAAATTTTAACCCGAATAAAGTGTGCAGTAGTGACGTTGAGGTAGTATTTTAACTACTTTTAACCAGTGTGAAAAGTAACTTTCAATTACAGGCCTACCTTAGGGCTATGCCTCATAGATCCATAAAGCAATTCCTTTTACCATTAGATATAAAATATGGACTAACACCATCGGGTGACATTTAATTGCGAAGCATTTGTTTTGGCTTGAAACTGTCAGATATTGTATTTGTGAAAGGTTTATATGTATTCCTATACATAGTAACAGTTTTGCCAGCATCTGGAAAATGCACACTAAATATGCAAAATAATCCTGTTCTGAATATAAGAAGGTTCAACTTACTACAAGATTCCCGTACGTAGAACGGGCACACAGCTAGTTTGAAAAATAAAAGTAAAATCAGAAGTATACAATTTTTATACTAAAATTGTTATATTTCTAAAGGTAACAATACATTTATTCAGTATAATATCATATTGTGAAAACAAAAATTAGTTAATCGAAGATAGATCTAATTTTGTACTTTACTATAATATGATAAATGCTACATGTATTTATAAGAAATATTACTGAACAAGAATATATATATATATATATATATACAGAAATATATACAAATAAAGGTTTGCAGAAGCATTATTGTGGAATGAGACACACATACGGATTGTATAGGGTAGGCTAGGATGTAGGCCTAAGCACAGAAAACGTACTACTATAACCCAGAATGCCAACCGCATGGTAAAAAGCATTAAGCGTTTTGAGAGAGCTTTGCCTGTAAATCCGTAGGCAGCGCCACCAGCGTTGCTATGCTATTGCATGGCAACGCTGGTGGCGCTGCCTACCAGCGAAGATTTGTTGTCTCTCAAAACGCTTAATGCTTTTCACCATGCGGTTGGCATTCTGGGTTATAGTAGTACGTTTTCTGTGGCCTAAGGCTAGGCCTAACGTGTAAACAATCACTATTTTAATAACACAAATTTGAACATAAATAATAATATTTACCCATCGTAATATGGATAAATACTACTACTAACTCACACACCACCTGACAATACACTTCTTTTACACTTAAACACTAACCTTTGATGAAAGTTAACACAAATAATAATGTAGCCACACTGAAAACCATATTTTGAATCTGGCGAGCAGAACGCAAACAACTGGTTTTTCGAGTTACGACTAATGTGTCACCTGAAACTTAATACTGAAAGGTACCAAAACATAGAGAAAGAACGTTTTCTCAGCTTCAAATAAGTTTGACTCACATCACGCTATGTCAATTATCAATATTTTTATTAGTGATTTAGAAACCGCCATTGAAACGGCGCTTTGGGCAGAACAAGAACAACTAATGTTCTTTTTAATGTTACGTAAACCGCTTTATGAATGGGCAAAAATAAAGACTTCCCGATCTTTTTCAAGAAAACATGTTTTACGAGATTTTGCCGTTCGCAACTCAAGAATGTTTTGCGTGCTAAATTTCGTTCAAATTATAACAGCAGATAATAACAGATAATAATGATTTGTTACTGCTACGAAGTTTGTATGAAAATGAAAGTTTAGAATCCCCTCTTTTCAACGGTATCAAAATTATAACGCTTCTGGATAATTTTAATTGCGTAAATAAGCGTTTGAAAAAAAAATGTCCAAACCGCCTTTGGCGCACACATGTATCCGCCGTTTAAACATTCTAGGGTTAAGGAAATCGTGGAAGCCGTTTACAAGATCTTTGTGCAAGCGTACATACAAGCATACATATAAACAAGCAAATATCGCTCATATAAGAGTACGAGATTGGATATGAAGCAGCTGTATCCAATTATAAAAAAAAAAAAATAGAATGTTGAATGAGCCACTCAGAATGTGCTTCAGTTAAAAATTCTATTTGCTTCCTTAGTTTTTGTGATTTATATTTTATTCCTAAAAAATTTGACTTAACACGTTCACTGCGGGCGTATCCGATCGGATACGGGCCGGAGCGCTGTTCAGACGCTGCCGTAACCGATCGGATACGCTCGGCAATGCCTTTCGTATATCATCGTTTTTGCTCTAGCGTCGGTCGAAGGCAGACCAATTCCACGTTAGCGTGTAGTGGGTGACTTGCTTTTTGTTGTGTTGTAGGTTGGTAGTAAAATTTCCCCATAAAATCCCCGTCTGGCAAACTTAAAAATCAACTTGTTGTCCCGTCTTTCTCCCTCCAATTGGCAATACGATGGGACCGGCTACGTTCCAAGCAGTGCTGCTATATGTGAGTGTTTAGCGAACTACGTCGACTCTTGTTACAAAACAGGACATCACCGCACGTTATTTGCTATTCGTCATACCGAAATATGAGAGCCAAACACCCGGCAATCGGGTTTGTGCGACGCTGCGGGCTGCGCCGCGCTGAGGCTACGCCTGCCATTTGATGGCCCGCAGCGAACGTGTTAATACAAGATGCTATAGTTTACTATAAGAAGTTATTTTAATTTCGCTTGGTAAAAAGGTTTTATATATATATATATATATATATATATATATATATATATATACAAAAGGAATATTCCACAAATATCAGCACAAATACAATATGTCAATAGCTCAATTCACCTATTTACATAGGCTACTGGCTACAACGTGGATATGTAATGTAAATTGTAGTTATTTGTAGTCAAAAGGTTTTCTTCTAAATGTACAGGTTGTGGATGTGAGAACACAGAGTTTGGTTGTTGTCCGGATGGTCGAACGCCAGCCCCAGGCCTAGGTCAGCCTTGTCCATGTGTGGCATCACTCTATGGCTGCTGTCCTGATGGTGTATCTGAGGCTATGGGTGAACACTTTGAAGGCTGCACTGACATACCCCTCGGCCCTGGAGGTAAATAATACAGAAATTTAAAACTTGTAAAATGATTCATATTCAAATTTAGTGGATGTACAAGTATTTACATTTCTTAAAGTGAATATTTTCCCCTTCATTTTAACAATGTTGACAATACATATTATGTAATTTCTATGTTATAGAACTGTGCACACTACCGAAGGACAGAGGCACTTGCCGAGACTTTACTGTCAAGTGGTTCTACGATACAGAATATGGCGGATGTTCCCGTTTCTGGTATGGAGGCTGTGAAGGAAATGAAAACAGATTCAAATCTCAAGAAGAATGCAAACAAACCTGTGTTGAACCTCCTGGCAGGGGTAGGTATCCATTTTTTACTTTTCTCCCTATAACCTACAATATAAATATATTGTGAAAGTATTTTATTTTTGTCAAAATCTTTTAGTTTAAGTTTGAATGAAAATATCCGTTTTGGGCCCCCCTGAGCGGAAAAAAGTGGTTTCCAAATTAGTGTTTGTGTGTGTGTGAGGATGTTTACAGAGCTACAGACTACACCAATGGTTCTATTTTGATTTTTAATGCTGATTATTCCATAAAATAATGGTGAAAAAGAGTTTTCACAAAAACGGCCTGACCGACTTTGATTAAAATTCAGTGTATTATATATCCCTTTCAACCCATCGCTGTAAAATTACGGTTCAAAAGCTACTGCAACTTACGAGATTTTCTCATAAAACCCATTAAGTAAAAGAAAAATTGGGAGGAAAATGTCTCAACCGATTTTGCTTGACATTTACTATGATATGGTCAGACTTGAAACTCTAAACAAAACGGTACAACCTGCAATAAACTGTACAAATTTACGGTTCAAAAGTTTTTGCTAATTCTGTGATTTTACCTATAAAATACCATAGTTCCTCTGCTTATCCATGTTAAGGTTTGTTGACAAGCTAATGGGAGAAATTATGTGTCAGATTGCTCATTTATTTATTTTTAACATGTACATATTAATAATCTGTAGTTCCCTGTTGGTTGTTAGTAATTAATTTCAGCGAATTTCCCATACAGGGAATAAGCTATTACCGTAGGTCTCATGGTAAGACTTAGAACCGGGGCCGATTTTCTTTTTTGTTTTGAGGTCCCCAGAGGCCAAAAACACCCTCCGCTCAAATTAATATATATATATGTGTGTCCGTTAGCACGATAACTCAAACAAAAATGATCCGATTTTGATGAAATTTGGTATAAACGTGTAAACCTACATTTATTCCAACGAGTTCGCGAACCAGCATGATCGGACCATGGGAACGGGGGTTTATGAGGGTTTTTATGGGGTAAAAATGGGGTTTTCCCATGTTGACCCTAAAAACATAAAGTTTTGGAATATCTTTCCCAACCATTTTGAAGAGCTTAAAAAAAGAAATAATTTTGTATATATTGAAGAATTGTTGTATGTCTAATGGTTACGGAGAAAAATCAAAAAAGTGTAAATTTAAAATTCCCATGTTATTCTTATGGAGAAAATGAAAACTGTTGTAGTTTACTTGTTTATGGATATATGATGATAAAGTTTGGCAAATTTATTTATTTCATACTATACTATTGACGTTTGGTCAAAAAAAACTTTTTACCTTCCCCGTAGTAGCAAACCTAAGCACTCGTTAAATCTAATGCTATTTAAATTGGGAATAAATATGTGTTATTTATAGAAATATTTTAGTTAAAATTTAATCAGACAAGTGGAAATTTGCTTAGTCTGCAGGTTTGCTGCGGCGGGGGTATTTTATTATTAGGTAATTTAAACCAAATCTTTCACAGATAATCAAGTAGTCAAGACTAAACATAACCAAATCAAATCAAAACAAATTTATAAACATGCTCTTTTTATTGTCGATATTTACAGCTGTGTTAGTCGAGGCAAACAGAAAAATAATTTTGTTTAGTTTTGCACTATTATTTTTTAAATATCCCCTATAATAAAGTTGTCCAATGTACATTATAATCCTAAAAATTACACATTATCATAACAGTAATTGCTATGGATATTAATTCACAGATGCATGTTTCCTACCTAAGATTGAGGGTCCCTGTGATGGCTACTACCCAACGTGGTACTACGACGCGGAGAGGAAGCAGTGTGGACAGTTTGTGTACGGAGGCTGTCTTGGAAACGGCAACAAGTTTGAGACAAGAGAGCAATGCGAGGAGCTTTGTGTTACTCCTGATACTCTTGGTAAGCCAATAATTGTAATTGATATTATAAGGCCTTACCTTAGCAATCCTGTTTTTTGATCCGAAATTAATTTCGGACCCGAAGGTCCATCATCAGTCGGAATCTAGTAGACCAAATTTTCTAAAATAGAATCCACCCGTTGGGTTTCGTAGAAAGTTTCACAACATTTAAGACAATACAAGTCATAGTCAATGCGAAAAGAGTAAAACAATTAGGGTTAAAAACCATGGTTTTTATAATGTCAGATAACCTCAGAGAAAGTGACTTGTATTGTCTTAAATGTTGTGAAACTTTCTACAAACCCCAACGGGTGGATTCTATTTTAGAAAATTTGGTCTACTAGATTCCGACTGATGATGGACCTTCGGGCCCGAAATTAATTTCGGATCAAAAAACAGGATTGCTAAGGTAAGGCCTTATAATATCAATTAATATATAAGTAATCCAGAGGCTAAAATGACCAATAATTGTATTTTTGAGCTTGATCTAACAAGGAATGAAAACTCTATGTTTATAAACGAATAAGTCATTAAGTAATTAAAACTTAAGTAAAAAATTCCCAACAACAAAAATTTAATATTGTCTTGGATTTTTTACTTTAATGTAGGCTACTTTTAATAACACCCTTTTTCATCAGTCAATTTACCGCTACAAGTATAATAGTATTTACATGTTACCTGCAAAGTATGAAATGGAGTAATTAATACCAAGAGGATTTAATACACTTTGGCTGGGCATTAGGTATAATGCCTAGTTATTCTATAGAATGCCCACAGGTATGTAAGGATCTGTATACAAAATATATATTTGTTCCAAAAAACCATCTTCTTAATGTTATTGATTTATTAGTTACCAAACCAGCCATCCGATCAAAATGAAACTTTGGGAAGCTGTTGCATACACCTCCAGGAAGGTTTCTGTTCCAGTCCCATTCTTGAACTCCCTTGGGGTTCCACCCCAGTGGCTCTGGAGTTTCCCATGTTTACCTTATGGGTATTCATATTTAAAAAGAACAAAGAAGATTGACAGCCAAATAAACCAACAAATTGGGCTCTATGATGTTCAATAGAATTAAAAAGTTACAAGGTTTAACAACAGATTATTTTTTTCTCCTCCCCGTTGCAAAGCACGGGTATAATATAACTAGCATAATATAAGTTAGTTAATGCCAAACAAGGATACAAACGTCTAAAAAAGTTCTACAACAGTGTATTTTAAAACTTGCCTGCACTGCCAATGGGTATTCTAGAATGACTAGGCAAAATATATAATGAGCTCTATTTCATACTTTCTCTGGTTTATTTTTTTAGGCAATGTATATGTACAGGGTGTCCATAAAAAACGTTTCAGGACTTTGGGAAATGGATCCCCATACTAGAAGGAAGAAAAAAGTTAATGGGAAGGTATGTCCGAAAATGCATATTTACCCAGATATCCGCCATTTTGTTTTTTATACAAAAATATTTTTATCTGTGAAGTTTTTTATTCGATGATAATGAAACTTGGTAAACATGTTACCATACACAAGACCTATTATAGAAAAAATAATAAAGTTTTTCCGATTGTAAATTTCAAAATGGCGGCCGTTTGAATTTTTCTAACTTAAATAACTCGAAAACGGCTAATTCTATGAAAAAATGTCAAGAATACTTTTTTTTAGCATTTTTAATTGCCTATCAAACAATACCAAGATCAAAAAGATCGGACAAAAGATAACTGAAATATTACGTTTTTTCTGTAAAAATAAGGCAAAAATTAGGGGTTCCCCGACTAACTTTGCCTTATTTTTACAGAAAAAACGTAATATTTCAGTTATCTTTTGTCCGATCTTTTTGATCTTGGTATTGTTTGATAGGCAATTAAAAATGCTAAAAAAAAGTATTCTTGACATTTTTTCATAGAATTAGCCGTTTTCGAGTTATTTAAGTTAGAAAAATTCAAACGGCCGCCATTTTGAAATTTACAATCGGAAAAACTTTATTATTTTTTCTATAATAGGTCTTGTGTATGGTAACATGTTTACCAAGTTTCATTATCATCGAATAAAAAACTTCACAGATAAAAATATTTTTGTATAAAAAACAAAATGGCGGATATCTGGGTAAATATGCATTTTCGGACATACCTTCCCATTAACTTTTTTCTTCCTTCTAGTATGGGGATCCATTTCCCAAAGTCCTGAAACGTTTTTTATGGACACCCTGTATATGTAATGCTTAGTCATTCTGTAGAATGCCTGATTACATACTTTGCCTGTAACATTCTAATGATAACATTTGTTTATACAAAGAATTTAGTTTTAATTTATTGGTAACACAAATATTAATAAAGGAAAGTACAAACAATACGTTTTGATATTAATATTATTTTTATCTATTTACCACTGGAATAAGCATCCCTCTTTAACTAACAATAATAGCTTGACTAAAAACCCCCTAAAACTGGCCTATATGAAAAGCTGTTAAAATTAACTTTCTAATTTACTGAGTGATGAGCATCGTGATGCATGTGGACAGATGCTTGCGAGAAGCCTGCAGACGAAGGTCTGTGCAAGGGTAACTTCACACGATGGGTCTACGACAAGGAGGCCGACAGTTGTACCACCTTCAACTACGGAGGTTGCCGAGGAAACAACAACAACTTCCTCACTGAACTGGCTTGTCAGCAAAAATGCATGCAGCCTGGCAGGAGTAGAGGTACAACATAGTTACAACTCTTGGACGGATTTAGTGAATGGATTTTGTTCCCTTTCTTTACCGAACAATATTGTTTCTTAGAGTCATATTTGTAAACAAATACTTATTTGGATAATTTGTGATTAGGAAATGTGAACTATATAACAATAAATGGTAACTTGGTGTGTTTTTAAAATTGCTATTTTTGTAGATACTAAACAAGTTTTACAAAAATATCAATGTTGAAATTGTAACATAAAAAGAACAAGGGGGTTGTTGGTGAAATAGCAGGCTTAAGTGAAATAGTCTACTCTGGCGTAAACTTAAAAATAAACTTTATACTACTGAAAAACAAACTTGAATACGAGGCATGTTTTTTAAGTAAGTACCGTTTTTAAACTTCTCCGTTCCAGCGCTGCGATTGGCATTTTGGACATTTGCGCTGTATATGTGCATCTATTGGCAAGCCCTAGCCGGAAATTCGACAACAATCGGCTGTGTTTACATCCGGTATCGAGCATTCAAAATGGTGCCGCAAATTGAGACTGCCGCCGACTGTGAAGTGCGCGCTGTAATTAGATTTTTATGTTCTAAAGGTGTGAAAGCCATTGAAATTTGTCAACAGATTAGTGAGGTGTATGGCGAGAACATTTATGAGTGACGGAATGGTACACAAGTGGGTAAGGGCATCTAAAGACGGCCCCACCAACGTTCATGATGACTAACGCACTGGGCAGCGTCACTGTCCCCAGTACTCAGTGCGTTGCTCATCATGAACATTGGTTGGGCCGTCTTTAGATGCCCTTACCCACTTGTGTACCATTCCGTCACTCATAAATGTTCTCGCCATACACCTCACTAATCTGTTGACAAATTTCAATGGCTTTCACACCTTTAGAACATAAAAATCTAATTACAGCTCGCACTTCACAGTCGGCGGCAGTCTCAATTTGCGGCACCATTTTGAATGCTCGATACCGGATGTAAACACAGCCGATTGTTGTCGAATTTCCGGCTAGGGCTTGCCAATAGATGCACGTATACAGCGCAAATGTCCAAAATGCCAATCGCAGCGCTGGAACGGAGAAGTTTAAAAACGGTACTTACTTAAAAAACATGCCTCGTATTTGTGTGCAGTTTGTTGTGTGAACTCTTTCCTCCTCAGGTAAGCCTGTTATTCTAAAAAAATCTTTAATAGATAGCAATGTGGTTTTATAATACAAGGGCTTTTAATGCTGATTAGGTTAAAACATTGGTAAACACAGTAAATGGTTTCATACTAAGAGCTTATAAAGTTGATGCCAAGGAAGTAGAACTGTATGAGATTGAACATGTTACAGTACTAAGCCTAGACGTGTGTGGGTTGGCTAAAGACCCTGGACCATGCCCTGGCACTGTCATGAGATGGTATTACGACTTAGACTCTGACACTTGCACTCAGTTTGTTTACGGCGGATGTCAGGGCAATGCAAACCGGTTCCGTACTAAAGCGGATTGCATTAGTCGGTGCATAGACCTCGCACCAGGTACAACAACCGGTGGTGGTCACCTCAGGGTCTGCTGGGCTAAAATTTTGGTGAAGGGTGACACTAACATAGCTAACAATAATGCTGCAAACAAAAATACCAAACATAACATGTAGTGTGTTAATATTGTTAAACTGTTAGCTGAACGTATTCACACAAAAATGTTACTTTTATTTTTAAGTATCTACAGTAGCTATAATATATTACAATATTACTTCAGATCTTATTTTAAATTAAAATGTTAAAATAGCATAATTTCCTTCTGGTTAACACAGAGTAACTACTGCGCAGGCACTAAACTGCGTTGCAGCGTTACCGCAGAGAGTAGGGGAAACGAAACTTACTTTCTGAAGGTACCTTCTACATACAAATTTAATCAAACACTATTTTACATTCTGATACAAAAATACCAGGTTTGGGTACCATTATTGTTATGTACTAAAGCTAAAAAAAACTGTAACAAAATTCATCATAATTTTATAAAAGATAAAACACATTACATTTTAAATTTAACGCCACACATGGTGGTTACATTTTATTTTACTTACACTTTTCATTAAAATATTTATTGGTGGTTCAACTTCATAATTATTTTTGGTAATTTAGGAGTTCGGGGTGTGGGCAGCATTTACTAGTTAGTTAGCAGCTTATTAATCCAGACAGCATGTTAACATTGCATGATGCTTGACACTAGATGAATGCGCTCTGCCCCGTGCCCAAGGCTCCTGTAACGAGCGACTGCCTCGGTGGTTCTTCGATGCCTCAGAGAATCGTTGCATGCCTTTCTATTACAGTGGATGTGAAGGCAATGGAAACCGCTTTGAGACCAAAGAGGTTTGTGAACAGGCTTGTCCGCCCAAAGTAGGTGAGTTTGTGTGGTTTTGTGTCATAGTGAAATGTTTGAGTCTTAAACTTTTCCCCAAACATTTAAGCGATAACAATTACTAGACTCTAGACAATAGACAAGTTCTTTTTTCCGTCAACTATACACACATTATAATGAGCATCGTCAAACTTCAATAAAAAGGCAACAAATGATGGCTCTAACAAAAATATACATACAATACAAAAATAGTCTAATTTGTCAACAATAAAGTCATCTCAACTAGGCAACAAAAACTCACATTTCATAATTCATCTCTAAAATTAATTACCCCATATAAAAATTAATGTAAGTCCCTCTGTCCTTTATGCATTGTCAAACCCTTATTCCGATCGCCATGAAACTTTAGGAAGTTTCTCTATAAGTGTCTAGGGATGTTGGTGTGAATCTAAAGTTTTGAAAACTTCACAGGTTTCCATTTTTTGTGTTCTAATTTCTAATATCATCTTATGGGGAGTAAGTTTGTTTACAAATTTTCCTAATTTAAAAAAAATATAAAATTGATTTCTAAAAGCTTTAATAGCCACAGCTGTTTGTTTTTTCCCATTAGCAATGTGATTTACTATTCAATATTGTCAAAAACTACCCGTACAGCTGCCATTTTGTTTATTTTTAAAACTATTTTTATTTGATACAGTAACAGCTTTTTGTTGTACATTGAAATTTGATTCATAGATGAGTAACGCAAAGACCTACTTTGAGAAAAAAATATTATTTTTTATCATGTATAGTTTCAAAATGGAGGTCATTAAAAATGTAATCTTTAAACTGAAATAAGATAAAAACAATCTGTGGTAATGTTTTATTTAGACAATTTTCTTACAATTCTAAAGATTCCAAATTTAAGAAAATCAGTTCATATAAATAAGGGGGGTTACTCATTCAATTAATATCTTAAGCCAGAGGGGAAGATCACTGCTAGTTAGCTAAAATAATCAGCTGTTTTAATTGTTGGTTACCCAATATACCCAGATATCGATGTACACCAGATCACCAATTTCTGAGATAAAGACATACATATTTTTATGAAAACATACCTTCACTTCACTAGCATTGTTGGAGCGATTACCTAACTGGTGAATCTAATTGGTGGTGGAGTTGTCTTTGGATTTGATTTGATTTCCAGGAAGATAACAGCTGTAGATCATTGATTTGAATCCTACCTCAGGTGCCAGTTAAATTTCCTGATAAATCTATAGCATAACTTATAATAGCCTAATGGCCTGTACAAATTTGCTCCTTTTTGAAAACAAGATTTTCAATAATTTTTTAGGGACATTGGAAAATTTGAGCTTGTTAACCTAACCACTTCCCTCGCAGTTAAAAATGAACTGGACAACCTCAGCTATTCTCAACCTTTGTATGGTCGCTATTTCAAAGAAAACGTACTAGAAATAGTATTAAAAAGTGTTAGTTCAAATCATTGTGGCTGTGTACTCACTTCTTCACAACTAATCCAGCTAGTCTCCCCCCATATGCAGTGATTAATTTTGTTGTAGTAGCCGATAACAATATAAGAGCAAATAGACCAAGTATGAATCACGTTCTGTGATTATAGTTTCTGTGGTCCAAGGGTTCAATCCCTTTTAATGTTCTTTGCCAGTTGATGTTGATGAATTAATTGAGAAAAGTGTTTGGATATTAAACATTTGTGTAAATGTGGAGGAGGGAGTAAGAAGGTGGCTGTAACTATTTGGATAATGGTATGGTATATAGGGTGAACAACTTAACTGTTCCACCATTGGTATCTCAGAAACTATTAGATTTAGAGAGAACATTAAATTGGTAACTTCAACTAGTTTTTAATGATATTAAAAAAAATGAATTCCAATGTTTCAAAAATGGCCGTCATTTTCCAATATGGCGGCTAACTTTGAAATTTCTTACGGAACACCCTATATTTTATCATGTTTTCCGATAGAAAATGCAATTAAAAACTTTTACCTAACCCGCCATGTTAAACTTCCCTATCCCAAGCGTGATGTATACAACTTCCTTACTTCTCAAGTGATGTAAAGTTGAAAAAAACTCACTTGGTGATGTAATGAAACCCATTTAAATAACATTGAGTGCTTAACTTAAAAAAATATACCTCTATGGAGGCATCGACGTTCAACGCTAGAAATCAGCTGTGCGCTTGAATGTTATTGTTATGCTTTAAAGTATTTTCCTAACCTAGCTTGTGTTTGTAAAAGAACGTTACTGTTAGACGATGAGTGAAATGGATAATGAAAAATATTGTACCTAAACCCATGTATATTGTCGGGTCAGGTAAAATCTTGTACATTACACGTTGCGCAAGAGCGTGTGTGAATTATGCAACTCGCTTCCGCTCGTTGCACAACATTCACCTGCGTGATGTAAAAACGCTCTTACTACACTTGTAATGTAAATAGCTATTTTATTCTTGAAATTTTTTTTTATAAACCCACTCGTTTAGGAGTTACAGCCTATGGAAAAATGACTTCCGGTGTACATTTTACATCATATAGCTGCTAAACAAGTAGGTTTATAGCGGAAATGCGAAATAAGTCAAATAAGTCTTAAAATTGCATCCACATTCCATAAAGACCATAAAATACACAGTTTTCCACTTTTCAAGTTTGCCGCCATTTTTTAAATAATTAATTAATAGTTTTAACGAACTTTATGGTCTTTTTAGGAGCTTCTTAGTTTAGGAGCTACATGATGTAAAATTTACACCGGAAGTAATTTTTCCATAGGCTGTAACTCATAAACGAGTAGGTTTATCGAAAAAATGTTGAGAATAAAAAAGTTTTAAATTGCATTTCCTATCAGAAAACATGATAAAATATAAAGTCAAAGTCAAAGTCATCTTTATTGTCACAAAACGTTTTTTTTATGCTCTGGCACAGCCAGACAAAACAGGTGACATTGTCAAACTATACTAAAATAAACTAGCTTATATTGGCAAAAAAAAAAAAAATACATAGTAGGTAACATAACAAACAATTCACGTTGATTTGTCTTCGAGAAACTGATCAATACTATAATAATTCTTTTCCAACAAAAATTCAAAAATTTTTTGTTTCAAAGATACTAATCCTATTATAGATTTGTAGTACCCAGGCAAATTGTTAAAAAATCTTTTACCCATATAAGAAGGAGTCCTTTCCACAAGATTTAATCTGTGTATAGGATATTGAAAATCTGTATGAAATCTAGTGTTATAATTGTGCCGATTATTTTCACTGTGGAGTTTTTCAAAATTTTATTTCACATACAATAAACATTTAAGAATATACAAATTAGGGATGGTTAGAATCTTTAGTTCTTTAAAAAGTTGTTTGCAAGAATGTTTTACGGGTTTAAAAGTCATAATTCTAAGTATTCTTTTTTGAAGTTTAAAAAGTTGATACGAATCAGATGTGACGCCCCAAAGCTCTATTTCATACTGTTGTCCTGAGGTCTACATAGTTTGTTTATTTGCTTGTCATCTGGTTTGATATATTATTGTTTCATGTTTACTTTAAGTTTTGGTTTTTGTTATTAAAAATACAATGAAAGAAGTGGCTCTAACAAAATGGGTTTTAATTTAATATATTTAAGGGCACAACATGGTGGCAGCGGTAAAGACCCAATAAATTGAGTAACAGGGTGTCTAATATATATGCTGCATTACAATGTCAGACTCAGAAAACTCAGATATAACAGTAAGAAGACAAACATCTAAAATGACACAACATTCAGCAACATTGGGCTTCATTGATAAATACTCCTTTAAACCAGAAGATTGGGGCCCATGGTTAAAAAAGTTCAATAGGTACAGAAATGCTACCAATTTAGATCAAATAGATGGAGAAAAGCAAGTAAATTTCCTTATAATATCCATGGGTGATAATGCAGAAAATGTATTAATAGCAGCAGGAGTAACAGAAGAAGATGAAAAGACTTATGATAAAGTGGTGGAAAAACTTAATAAGTATTTTACACCAAGGGTGAATTTGACCTATGAGAGAGCGAAATTCAATCAACGAGTACAAAAGCAAAATGAACCGATATCCGATTTTATAACAGATGTACATCAATTAGCCTCTTCATGTGATTACAAAGACATGAAAGACAGCCTTATTAGGGATAAACTCATTGTTGGAATAACAGATTCAAAGTTATCTAAGGAACTTCAACTGATGGCTGACCTAACCTTGCATGAAACAATAAATAGATTGAAACAAAGTGAAATTATAAAGAACCAACAAATTACTGTTAACAGATCAAGAGAACAAGAATTTGCAGAAATAGACCAAGTGAAAAAACATCCGAACTTGAAACAAAACATAAGACAATATACTTCTAATTGTTTTTACTGTGGAGGACAGAGGCATCCTAAGAAGGAATGTCCTGCTCAGAATATTGAATGCTACTACTGTGGATTGCAAGGACACTTCAGCCGATGTTGTAAAAAGAGACAGAATAATAAATACAGAAATCAGAACAATAAATACAGAAACCCAACCCTGAATCAAATTCAGGAAAATACCGAGAACAGATTGGAACAGGATAATAGAAGCGAGGACGGGTATTACATTAACAGAGCTGAAGTTAAGAAAATAAGAGCGACAACAAGGAACTACAATAAACAGAATGAATTTGAAATTGATGTAAAACTTGATGGGAAATTGGAACATTTCAAGATTGACAGTGGAGCCGACGTGACGATTGTGCCTCCAAGAATGGCTATAAACAAATTATTGACTAAATCAAACGTTGTTTTAAAAACACCTGGGGGGAAGTATTTAACAGTTTTAGGTAAATTTGAAGGTGTAATTCAGTATAAGAACAAAACAACTCGTCAAACAATATATGTGATCAATGGTCAAGAGGAAGCATTGATTGGGAAACCATGCATCTCAGCCCTAGGGTTCTTAAGGGTCATCAGAGGAGTTAAAAATGACATTCAGTCAAGTGAATATTGTAGCAACCAGAATATCAACACAGACCTACATAAGATCAAGAATAAATATCCAAGTTTATTTAATGGGATTGGTAAGATGAAGAAAGGAGCTCAACTTAAACTGAAACAAAATGCGGTACCGATGGAGTTAAAAACTCCTAGAAACATACCTATTCCATTAAGATAAAAAGTGAAAAATGAACTTAAAAGAATGGTTGAAGCGGGAATCATTGAAGAAGTTTGCGGACCTACGGAGTGGTGTCATCCAATGGTGGTAAGACCTAAACCTAATGGCAGTGTAAGAATATGCATTGATCCTTCAGCTTTAAACAACCATTTACAGAGAGAAAATAACGTTTTTAATACTGTTGAGGACTTACTTGGATGTCTAGGGAATTCCAAATGGTATTCAAAATTAGATGCTAATTCGGGGTTTTGGCAAATACCGCTAGATGAGGGTTCCTCAAAATTGACAACATTTATAACACCATTTGGTAGATTTTGTTTTAAAAGACTTCCCTTCGGAATTTCAACAGCCCCGGAAATATTTTGTAACAGGATGAAAAGTATTATTGGAGACATCCCAGGAATTTTGTGTTATATGGATGATATTTTAATTACCGGAGAAAGTAAACCCGAGCATGACAGCAGACTAGACCAAGTGTTACAAGAATTGGAAAAAGAAGGAGTTACCTTAAATGACAAGTGTGAAATAGGAAAAACAAAGATTTCATTCTTAGGTCACATTATTTCTTCTGGTATGATTCAAGCAGATCCCAAACACTTACAAGCAATAATCGATTTCCCCACACCCAGTGATGTGGGAAGTGTTAGGAGATTTCTAGGGATGTTGAATCATGTCGGAAAATTCATAGAAAACCTTGCTGATATCGTTCAACCACTGAGGGAACTGCTAAAAAAATATAGGGCTTTTGTTTGGGGTCCTAGTCAAGAACAATCATTTAAAACAGCCTTAAAGAGTTTACAAACAACTCCTGCCTTAATACCATTCAATTTGAAAAGGAGAACTATAATATCGGCCGATTCATCAGCTTATGGTTTGGGTGCAACACTTTTGCAAGAACATCAAGGACATTTAAAACCTGTGGCCTACGCATCAAAGAGCTTAACACCGACTCAACAGAAATATGCACAAATTGAAAAGGAGGCTTATGCAATAGTATGGGCATGTGAACGTTTCAAAAATTTTATAACAGGATTGAAGTTTCAAATTCAAACTGATCATAAACCTCTGATTCCTCTTTTAAGTAGTAAGGGTTTGGATGAACTGCCGCTAAGAGTTCAGAGATTTAAAATGAGATTAATGAGATATTCGTACGACATATTGTGGGTACCAGGAAAACAATTAACTACTGCCGACACGTTATCAAGAGCGCCAATCAACAAAACTGAAGAGGAAGATATTGAGAAACTTGCAGAAGAAGCAGAAGCATGTGTAAGAACAGTAGTTCAATCAATCCCAGTATCATCTAATAAATTAGATGTAATAATAAAAAATCAAAGAGAAGAATTACAGGAATTGTTAGATATTACAATTCAAGGATGGCCTAAAAATAAGAACCTATTAAATGAAAGATTAAAAGAATACTGGGATCATCAAGCAGAATTGTCGATCAATGAAGATATACTTATGAGAAATAATCAAATAGTGATTCCTCCATCCTTGAGAAAAGAAATGTTAGATAATATTCATCAAGGTCATCAAGGTATTAAAAGATGTAAAGAAAGGGCTAAAATGTCAGTATGGTGGCCCAAAATGAATCATCACATCGAACAAAAAGTAACCTATTGCCCGCAATGCATTGCTGACAGAGTGCCTCCTCGCCATCCTATGATTCCTACAGAGGTTCCTGAAAGACCCTGGCAGAAAATCGGAGTAGATTTTTGTGAATTCAACAATGATAAATACATAATTCTCATGGATTATTATTCCAAATACATCGATGTATATAAGGTATCTAACTGTTCAACGGCAATATTGATTAAATCAATGAAGACATCGTTTGAAAAGCATGGCATCCCCGAGTCAATTAGATCAGACTCAGGTGTGCAATTTCTATCAGAAGAATGGGAACTATTCAAATCAGAATACGACTTCACAGTGGAAACTAGTTCACCATACCATCATCAGTGCAATGGTCAAGCTGAAAGTGGTGTGAAAATCTTCAAAAACATATTAAAGAAGTGTAAGGATAGACATCTGGGCTTATTGGCATACAATACGACGCCAAAGGAATGTGGTTATAGCCCATCACAACTATTAATGGGACGGATTTTAAGAACAAATCTACCAGTGAATAAAGCAACTCTACTTCCAGCCACTCCAAATCACAATAGATATAGACTTAGACAAATGGAAGAAAAGAGGAAACAGGAACAACAGTTCAATAAAAGACATAGAGTGACCCAGGTCAAGGATTACCCAGAAAACGCTAAAGTTTGGGTATTGGACCGAAGAGAAGAAGGGGTAATCAAGGAGAAGTTAGAGAACAGGAAATATAATGTTGAAACAAAAAGGGGAGGAAGATATATCAGGAATTCAAAATTCTTATTCCCTATGTTCTCCTCTGGAGAAAGAGAAAATCCTGATAAAGAAAACCCCCATACACAGACACTTCCTCCAAGACAGACACATACACCAAGATCCAACCTACATAATCATTCTTCAACCATACACAGACCTACCAGAATTGTTAAACCTGCTAAGAGGTTCATAGAAGAACTTTCAGAGGGAGATGTCCTGAGGTCTACATAGTTTGTTTATTTGCTTGTCATCTGGTTTGATATATTATTGTTTCATGTTTACTTTAAGTTTTGGTTTTTGTTATTAAAAATACAATGAAAGAAGTGGCTCTAACAAAATGGGTTTTAATTTAATATATTTAAGGGCACAACAACTGTAAAATTGACAAAAATAAAGCGTGATAAATCATTAGTCTATAGTGTTTAAATCAACAACATTTCTTAAGACCAACATTTGAAAACATACTGAATTTAACTTTTTAGAGGTGTTATGAATGTGATTCTTCCAATTCAATAAACTATCTACATCAATTCCTAAAAATTTAGCTGTGTTGCTAAGATTTATTTTTTCATTATCAAAATAAACAAAGCCTTCAAGATCGTCCCTACACTGTGCAGTTTGAAATTTTACTATTTGTGTTTTAATGTGGTTCATTTTTAAACCGTTTACTTTAAACCATTTTGACAGATCTCCGTAAGAATTTTTTTTTTATAGGGTGTTCCGTAAGAAATTTCAAAGTTAGCCGCCATATTGGAAAATGACGGCCATTTTTGAAACATTGGAATTCATATTTTTTAATATCATTAAAAACTAGTTGAAGTTCCCAATTTAATGTTCTCTCTAAATCTAATAGTTTCTGAGATACCAATGGTGGAACAGTTAAGTTGTTCACCCTGTATAGTGGCTGTGGTCAGTTTCTTTTTAGAGTACCCAATGTTAAGGAAATTTGCATTGGTCATGGTAGACCCAGGTAGTCTAAACATGCCAATCCACAAGCAAAGTTCCCTCTACACTGTCTCAATGGAAATGGAGTTAAACAATAAACACCCATTACTGGCCTCGTCGTGCAAATGTGTACAGCCTTCACCAACCTCCTTGAACAACTTATACATAGGCTACTTATGCACAAGTCTTAACATTTTATCTCCTTATACATCTGCCAAACGGCAAGCTAACCCGATACTTGGCTGGAGAGCGATCATTCCTTGGGTCATTATGGGATACTACGAGGAGAAAAATCGTTGCATAGGCTAGCATAATAGTGGAAGAGATATAGAACATGTCATTCTTAAACTAGTTTGCTCAGCAGTAACTAGAGCTCATTGGAAATTTAAATTTACAGACTACTCTCGTAGTAAGATATTCTAGAAAAATGAAAATATACTTATTTTTTGAGGCTATAATAGATGTATGTTATTGCAGAACAACACACGTGCATACTGCCTGCTCTGGTAGGAGATTGCCACAACTATACAGCACGATGGTACTATGACTCGCTAGAGGCACAATGTCGTCAGTTCTACTACGGAGGTTGCGGCGGTAACCACAACAACTTCCAGACCCAGGAGGAGTGTCAGCAGACGTGTGACCGAGGTTACGTACCTCCACCTCCACCACCACCTCCTGAGCAAGATTATGAGCCACCTGTTGTTCCACCATATGAGGTAGAAGAACCTGCAGAACGCCAGCCACAGCCATCCCAACCGTTCACGACAGGTGATAAGACCAGTCATGTTTTCCCAATGATTGTTAGGGATACTCTTGAGTAAAATAAATGTTAGTTATGAACTACAAAATAACACAGTACAATGAAAAAAATTGTTTTGGAATTCTCTTATAAAATCAGAAAAGGATGATAACATCTCTGCTGAAAATTATGTCCACAAATTAATAAACTATTTATTTTATAATTAACTTTATGTTTAACAATAACTAGTTAAGTAATAATTACTTAATTTGTCAAGAGTCTTTAATTATTATATTATACTAGCTTCTGAACCCGTGCTTTGCAATGGGAAGATGCACTATACCGCCTAATCCAAAACACTTTTAAGTAGTTCGAATTAATAAACCAAAGAGCCACAAAATGTATACAAAAACATATGACCTACATTGAATTGTCTTACTCTTAACATTGAAATGTATCAATAACATAATTGTCATAACTTACGGTTATAGAATCTTTCTTTAATTTCATAATCAATGACATAGTTTTAGAAATAACTAGCTGTAACCCTCGGGCTTTGCCCCGTTTAACTTCTTAATTTTCAAGATGATCTCGTTCGCATGGCTCAATTACGTCCTGGTTAAGTTTGTTCGCTACGCTTACTCACCTCTAGGTTGGAGCTCGTTCGCTACGCTCACTCACCTTTAGGTTGGAGCTCGTTCGCTGTGCTCACTTGCCCTCAGGTTAGCTCGTTCGCTACGCTCACTTGCCTTCAGGTTAGCTCGTTCACTACGCTAACTCGCCTCCAGGTTGAAGTTCGTTCGCTACGCTCACTCACCTTTTGATTGCAAATTAGCTGCTGTCATAAATGTAAAAGAAATAATAGTGCTGCACCCTGTTGGTAATCCTTGTAACTTTAATGCTATTGAACATCACAGAACAGAACCAACTTGTTCAATTGAAACAGCTGTTAAGAAATTCCTTTTAAATATGAAAAATCATAAGGTTAACATGGGAAACTCCAGAGCCACTGGGGCGGAGCTCGAAAGCCCGATCAGAATAAAAACTACTTAGTTTTCCTATTTAATGCCCAAAGAATCGGTGTACCAAATTTCAGCCTCCTAGGTATTGAACATCATAGAACAGAACCAACTTGTTTAATTGAAACAGCTGTTAAGATTCATTAATTCCATTTCTCATAAGGTTAACATGGGAAACTCCAGAGCCACTGGGGCGGAGCCGATTGGACGGATCACGAAATTGATGGTGTATAAACCTATTCCATGAAATTCTACACGTATGTACCAAGTTTCATGGCAATCGGTTCAGCGGTGTCTGAGTTTTCACTGCCAAATATATATATATATATACAAACATCCTCTTTTATACTAACTTATAGATTGTGTAAAATATTTTATTTTATTTGTTTGGATCAGCTGTCTGAAATTGTCAAATAAGCATTCAACAGTTCTGATTGTTTACATTGAAATGTCAACACAAAGGTAAACAAAAGGTTGTGAATTTTCTCAGGGAGACCATATATTAATGTTTACTTTTGAAAACCTCACTTCAAAACTTTGGACATCCAAGGGGCGTAGCCCGAGAGGAACTCAGGGACGTGAATAGGCCTATGAGATTCCTAGATATGTGGAATATCGGTGTGTTTAATTTTGGCTGTATCGGTTTATAGTATTTTAGTCGTGGCAGCAGCACAGACAAACAGACACCACCTCAATTTTATTATAGTATTAGTGATGGATCGCCACTGATTTCGTAATGGAACATTATATTGCAAAACATGACATGGTGCAGAAAGAATAGTTATTTGCACAACAGTGAGCAATTGCACTTTGCACTCGAGTTGCACATTATATTTTTCCTACAGATACCATAGAACAAATAAATTGGTAAAGAAACGTAACATATTTTAACACAGAAATGAACTTTTAATATGACATTTAGTGATACAACAGTACAACAGCTGACGAGCTGATTTACAGCCAGTGCTGCCAACGTATTTCGCGCGCATACGACCTTGTCTGCATGTTACACGCTCACTATTTCGTGCCTTCACGATGCAAATCTGGAGTGAGACAAAGTAATTAGAGTGAGACAATGTTAACAACATCGCTATGTTAACATTGTCTCACTGATGAGCGAATTGGCCACTTTGCTTTCTCAAATCAGTGATAGAACATGTACATTGTTAGGTAACTGTAGGAAAAATCCATTTTAAAATGAGAAAATAGCATTGCAAATACTTCTTTCTGCCTAATTCAACTCCCTAATGTGTGTTGTTAAAAATACAATTTAAATATTAACAGCTGTTTCATTAAAAAGTAGTGACAAATTATCCATCCATATGGCCATAATGTAAACAAATCTGGGGAGGGAACTTTAAAGGTCACTGGGGCAGAGCCCCGAGGGAATTTACTTTGTTTTTCTTTTGTTGGCTCCTGTACAGACTAAAGCCTTTCTTTAGATACCACTACCAAGGTTCTACGCACATCCGTTCCCTCAAATTAGTGGGGAGAATTTTTCCAATTAAAAATATAGATTCCCCATGTTAACCTTATGGGAGAAACCCCAAATTTGATGGGAGATCCTGCCCAAACTAATAATGATTTCAAAAAATGAAAACTTCTTTGCAAAACTACAGATCAGGGCCATTTTTGGACACCTTAATCATCAAAATCGCTCTAAAAATGAGGGAGGATTTCTGTTCACAAAAATTATATATATGGCTTAGCGTATTACACATATATATAGATAATATCCATATATTAATACGTAAGCATGTTTCTTTAAAAGCTTTTTTCTCAGCTCGTGTGCATCGCAGGGAAAATCTATGCTTACTGTTAGAAAGATATTTTCCTGTAGATGTGCAGAATACATTTATTTAGTAGGCTAAAAAATAAGCACAAAAAATTAATTTAAATAATTAACATGGGTCTTATGGGTTGCCATGCTAGTGACAAAATAACAACGAAATATAAACAGAAGATCAAAACAAATTGAAGAAATTCCAATCACATGTTTTAGTTATAGTTTGGGGTAAAAATGGAGAAGTCTGTACATTACATATTTTTGGACGACCTCTAGTATATTATAATTTTAAGTCTTAATCTATATAAATAAGAATCATGCAGTTTTTGGTTATTTTTACGTTTCATAGCCTAAGAAAGCCGAATCGAGTCTTATCTCAATTTCTGTCTGTCTGTCTGTTTGTCTGTTTGTCTGTTTGTCCATTCTGTCATTCCGTCTGTGACGCTAGAATGTCATTTTACGCGGCCTACTCCTAGAAAACTAGAGTACCGATCAAGGTTCTAATCATTTTTCTGTATTTACTTGATTGGTGAGAGTGTCTTTGGCTATAAAAACATGGCCTCGCTTCTTTGAAAACAAAATAACAAACCATCAAAAACCCAACTTTGTTCGATTTTTGTCAAATTTTCTCCCAATGTTAATTACATTTTATGAAATAACGATCAGCTGTTTGGATCATTTCTCACTTCTAGCTGTCACTGATATGTTTACATTAAAAGTTGTTTACAAATACCGCAACCATTTCCGATCAAGTTTTGTTAGCACATTCAACAAGTGAGATTAAAAACGTTGTGCCTTACTTAACCGGCTTAATTAATCGCAAGTGCAACAATTGTTCTTGAGTTTTAATAACCGGGGAAAATACCGTGAATCAGTGTTTGTATTAGTGCTAGGAAACTTATATTTTTTTAATCATCGTCACCAATAGCTTACAAAAAAGGTTTCCACTAATTGACGGCGCTTCAAGGACAGTTGTGTAAAGTGCAAACTAAAAAATCACAACTGCAGTGGGTGATCGTGGATGTTGCTGCGATCTTGGAAGATCTTTCTGATTTCGCTTTGATTGTAACAGAGGTTTAACTTACAGATGTAGCTAAACACGCTTTTCCAATGTGTCACTTTTCGTTTCTACTTACTTACATTTAGACAACATTATCGGTACTTTTAAGTACAAGAAGTAAACTACAAACGTCCAAAACCCCAGATAAGTGCGTTTTTGTCACATTTCCTCCGAATGTTTGCTAGATATATTTACCGATTATCGTTTAGAGATTACATAATCTTTTAAATAAGAAACCTTTGTTTGGATAAAGGTGGTTTCTTCAAACTGTCATTAATATGTTAACATTAAAAGTTGCTTACAAATAATTATATTAATGGGAAATAACTTTGATTTTTGAAAACTAAAAAAAAACTTAAACTTAGGGATTAAAAATTTTGGTACTGCACCACATCAAGTGAAAGTTTTGTTTCGCAAACCATAGTGAGTTTTTAAAGTTTTACGTTGTTAACGTTACATGTTACGTGTTTTTGTGGCCTGTGTGTATTTATTTATTTATATATTTGCCAACGGATTAACACCTATAATACAGTTGGTTTAGAAGGACAGTTTGAATCGGTCGTAAGTACCCACCACTTACGTTCTTTTCTTAAATGTAAACGTTGGTTTTTGGTAAACTGCTACTTTTCCTTAGAACCGGTGGTAGCAGTAAGAATAATTTGTTGTACAAACACATCACTACTGTATTTACAGCACTATAGTTATCGTTAGTGCTGCACTTTATTTCTTATTAAATTTAATTGATGGCTTTTACTGTATAATTTTTGCGTTTTTTGTCTGGACTCCAAAATGTTAGTTTATGCTAAAATGATAAAACATTAGTGAAGGATTTTTTTTAGTGAACCATCATGAATTTTTAAAGCTTGACGTTGTTAACGTATAAAATGTTTTGTGGACTGAGTATTTATTTACTTATTTATATATTTGCCAACAGATTTACACAAATTTTACAGTTTGATTAGGCCTAAAACGATTATCATAAAATTTGATGTAATGACACTATCAAAACTTTAAAATAATTATTTTGTTTGTAATTGAGTTTGGTTAAAGCGTAGCAAATCCCCTAATTTAATTCTGTATTTGTGTGTGTATGTCTGTTGGTAAAGCACCTTTGTTAATGAAAATTTCAACCCGAATAAAGTGTGCAATAGTGAGGTTGAGATAGTATTTGAACTACTTTTAACCAGTGTGAAAAGTAACTTTCAATTACAGGCCTATCTTAGGGCTATGCCTCATCTAAATATATAAAAGGCAAAGCCCTCACTGACTGACTGACTCACTCACTCACTCACTCACTCATCACTAATTCTCCCACTTCCCATTTACCTAGGAGGCTGAAATTTGGTACACCGATTCTTTGGGCATTAAATAGAAAAACTAAGTAGTTTTTATTCTGATCGGGCTTTCGAGCTCCGCCCCAGTGGCTCTGGAGTTTCCCATGTTAACCTTATGATTTTTCATATTTAAAAGGAATTCCTTAACAGCTGTTTCAATTGAACAAGTTGGTTCTGTTCTATGATGTTAAAGTTACAAGGATTACCAACAGGGTGCAGCACTATTATTTTTTTAATTTATGACTACAGCCAATTTGCAACCAAAAGGTGAGTGAGCGTAGCGAACGAACTTCAACCTGGAAGCGAGTTAGCGTAGCGAACGAGCTAACCCGAAGGCAAGTGAGCGGAGCGAACGAGCTCCAACTTAAAGGTGAGTGAGCGTAGCGAACGAACTTCAACCAGGACGTGATTGAGCCATGCGAACGAGCTCACTTGTGAAGTTAAACGGGGCAAAGCCCGCGGGTACAGCTAGTAGATCTATAAAGCAATTCCTTTTATCATTAGATATAAAATATGGACTAACACGATGGGGTGACATTTAATTGCGAAGCATTCGCTTTGGCTTTTAAACTGTCAGATATTGCATTTGCAAAGGTTTATATGTATTCATATACAGTAATAGTTTTGCCAGCATATCTGGAAAAATGCACACTAAATTTGCAAACCAACAACTGTTCTGAATATAAGGTTTCAACTTACTACAAGATTCCCATACGTAGAACGGGCAAACAGTTAATAGTTATTATTAAGACTCTTGTGCAGCTCATGTGTATGAGAGTTTTGGGCTGGATAATGTCTTCTTGATAGACTGATAATAATGATATACTTTCACAGTTTTAAGTAAAATGTCAACGCAAAGTGCCAAAAGCCAATTTTGTATTTTAATTGTATTTTTTGGTTAATAAATTTTGCACATTTGTTGCAGATATGTGCTTCCTTCGTGATGATGCAGGTGACTGCCAAGAATCTAATCTTCACTTTTTCTATGACAGTCGCGATGGAGTGTGCAAGCATTTCTTGTACAGCGGTTGCGGAGGGAATGGCAACAGATTCACTACCATTCAAGAATGTGAAATCCGTTGTGGAAATGTCCAGGGTATTTTTTCTATTTGCTCTTTTATCATATACAGGGTGGTAATAAAGTCCGAAGACAGTTAAATATCTTCCAAATGTCAACAGATAAACCAATAAGATTTGGTACATCAACACCACACCTAAAAATCTACTTTTTTTGAGGAAATATCAATTTTCTGTCATATCATGGGGACGTCACGCAAGGAGTCAGAAGGAAATCTTAAATAGAAGCATAGGTTGACATGTACATCAAATTAAAGGTCTTTACTATCAGAATATAATGCCGCAAATTTGAACTCAAACGGACAACCGAGCCAAGAATGACAGTTGTTCAAAGATTCATTTAATTTGCATTGCCATTATATGCTTACTCCTCAGGGGGCACAGCCCTAGGAATCGGAAGAAAATTTTTGACATAAGCATAGGTCGATATGCACATCAAATTAAAGATCTTCACTAGTAGATTACAATGCCGTAAATTCAAGCTCAAAAGAACGCCTGGGAGTAAAATATGGCAGTCGTTCAAATATTCAAAATGGCAGATTCAAGAAATCTTTGAACGGCTGCCATTTTGCGCAGGATCAACCTTTTGAAGTGCGGTTTGCGGCATTGTATTCTACTAAAAAATACCTTTTATTTGATGTGCATAATGACATATGCTTCTATTTAAGATTTTCTTCCGATTCCTTGTGGCCGTCACCCTGAAGAGTTATTGGATCACCGAATATGTGTTAAGATAAAGTTTTATGCTCTGTAACTTTGTACCAAGTATTGTAGCTCTATCTACATTATTTTTTAAAATATTTAACTGTCTTCGGACTTTATTACCACCCTGTATACCTATATTGTAAAAAAATTATAAATGCCTGATTACCTATGATCTAAATCGTGTTACTGTTCAATGATAATTTTAGTCAGGGAGGATATGAATTATAAAAAATATTTAATAGCTAAAAGAACTTTTATAGCGTGGGCATCATCTTTTATTACTTTTTTATGTTTTTCTGAATAAGTAAAACTTAAAATAAAACTAAGTGGCTGATATAAGGAGAGAGATTTCGGAAAGTTATAAAGTACTTTTACCTTAGAAAATTAGAGTCTTGGGCTAATACATTTTCTCTTCAATATATTATATATTCACTGAGATACATTATGATGCAATATCAGTTTTATGTTTTGTGACCTTTTGTTATACATCTATTTGACCCTAGACTCTTATTTTCTCAGTTAAGCTAGCTGAATTCTATAATCTATTAACAGAATTCCTATTTAAACTTAAATGTCACAAACATACATCCATACATCCATACATCCATACATCCAAACTTTCTCATTTATAATATTAGTAGGATGTATCTTATGTTGAGCTGTATCTTATCCAGGACCATTTATTAAATAATGACAATGATCATGGGTATCTGGGTCCAGTTTTGAACCACCAAAAGCAGCTTTATTTTTTTAGGATTGAAAGATTAGATGTAAGAGACATAAGACATCATGTATCGGCAGAGTTCATTTCAAGTGTATGAGGGAGAGGGAGCAGTGAGTTCATTTATTTTATTAATTTTTTTACAGAATGCCATTACATCAAATAATGACAGAACATTTGTCAATACAGTATAATACTTAAATCTAAATAGTAAATAATAAAAATAAAATAACACTCAACTCTCCCAATTTCCACTTAAAAATTCAATTAAAGAAAAAAATGTTTTCATAAATTGAGGTGACTAACCTGTCGTCAATCAGTCCTATATTGTCGTGGATGACTATAGTTTCGGGGTTTAAGCCCCATTTTCAAATCTTTCTCTTCAGTCGTCATATGTCAAACATATCTTCTTGCACTAGCCGTTGTCAAAAATACTTCACATATAAACACATAAAGAAACATTTATATTTACAAAATGATGTACAAGCGCGCGACTATTTTTGACGACAGCTAGTGCAAGAAGATATGTTTGACATATGGCGACTGAAGAGAAAGATTTGAAATGGGGTTTTGACCCCAAAACTATAGAAATCCACGACAATATAGGACTGATTGACGACAGGTTAGTAACCTCATTTTATGTCAATAAATCATTCCTGGAGGTAAACTATGTATAAAAATGTTTTCGTCAGTAACCAGTCTTCACATTTTTGTTTGCATTTCTTTGGATTATGTTTTAGCGAATTTCCCTATAGGGAAGTAGCTATTACCGTAGGTCTCATAGTAAGACCAAGACCCGGGACCGATTTACTTTTTCATTTTGATGTCCCCAGAGGCCAAAAACACCATTCATTCAAATTTTTATATATCTATATACAGATATACATATAAATATATGTGTCCATCCGCACGATAACTTGAGTAATTTTTGTCCGATTTTGATAAAATTTGGTTTGAAGGTGTAAGGCGGGATAAACTTGATTGAGTTCGGGAACCAGCATGATCGGACCATGGCAACAGGGTTTAACGGGGGGTTTTATGGGGTAAAAATGGGGTTTTCTCATTTTTTGCCTTTACAACACAAAATTTATAAATTTTCAATTTATAATTTTTAAAGAACTTAAAAAAAACAAATAATTTAGTATATCAAAGTGTTTTTGTACGGTGATTGGTTACGGAGAAAATTAAAAAAAAACTGTTAATTTTAAATGCCCATGTTATTCTTATGGAGAATGTTATAATATGTTGTAGTTGGCTTGTTTATGGATATATTTTGATCAAATTTGGAAGATTTATTTATTTTATAATAAGCTATTAATATTTTAATAAAAAAACACAAGTTAATTAGTTTCCCTGTAGCATCAAACCTACTTTTAAAATCAATCCAGGCAAATTGGGTATTTTTATGGATCCAGCTGTTCCCGACTATCACCCTTCAAGCCTGTTCATTGAAGTGTTTTTGTACAATTATTAGATACGGAGAAAATTCAAAAAATTTTAAATTACAATTCCTATGTTATTCTTATGGAGTTACTGTTGTTTCCTCGTTTATGAATACATTTTGATCTCAAGTTTGGTAAATTTATTTATTTTATATACTAAGCTATTAATATTTTACTAATAACACACTTTAATACCCTCCCTATAGCATCAAACCTAAATACTCGTTAAACCTAATGTTATTGAAATAGATTTAATTGAAAATCAAATCAGGCAAATGGAAATTTGCCTAGTCTGCAGACTTGCTGCAGCGTGGGTATTTCAATTAATCTCTCAGAAACAGTGCCTGTTTTACAGACTTATGTTCACTACCTCAAGTCGTGGGCCCCTGTGATGGGGTTGAACCTCAGTATTATTACGACCAAAGAACAGACTCCTGCTACCCCTTTGACTATGGAGGTTGTCAAGGGAACACCAATAGGTTTGCTTCTGTGGCTGAGTGTGAACAGCGCTGTCGCCGAGCTCCGCCTATACCTCCCACATCAGCTCCTACAGCCCCACCTGCTCCACCCAGGAACAACATTTGCTACCTGCCTGTAGACAAGGGTCCATGTAATGAGCAGGTGAGTAGGTTGGCCTGAGGAATAAACCTTTTAACTAATCATTATTAATAGTACGGTAGTTGTTCTGCCTGTGGCAGGATAATTAATAATTGACTATACTGACAATTATTGTCAGTGGATACACAATGTTTTTTTGTTTTTTCATTAGGTGTTTATATATAGGCTAACTTTTTAGGCATTAGTTACCCTTTTATGTTTACATAGTTAATAGTGGAGAATTTAAACGTTATTGAGTGCTCAGGTGTGCTGCGATTGGGGCTTATAAGCCCCAATCTAAATATATTATAAATATATTATAATATTTTGACTCATCCAAAAGTAAAATAGTTTTCTGTGCTGTATTCTGTGGAAATAGTGTGGCACTATTTCAAATCATGACTAATGAAACAGAATGTTGTGATTACTGTATTCAAACCTACCTACAAAACAGTTGGTGAAAGTAAACATCTGCTTTTAAATTATACTAGCCACCATACCCGTGCTTCGCAACGGGAAGAGAACGCTTAAGAGAATATTATTAATAGGTGAAACCCGTCGAAATCGACGGTTACTTTCAAGGCTTACGCTAATTCATCTAACTGCGATAAATTGAGTGAAATTATACATACTAGTGTACATGTTGCTCGAATTCGAGCAATTGGAAAGTATTACAGGAGTTATTTCAAAACGAATAATAGTCATATTTACAATGAGTTTAAAAGAGTCTACTCAAAGATTACCGGTGTGTAACTCAGACCATGTTTAACTTGGTTATTGATAAACCTAAAGCATTCCGGCCGGTTTTCTCCTTCTCAAAATGTCTCGCTGAACAGGCAACACAGGTCATTGATAGAGGGCCAATTGAGAACAAAAAGTCGTTTTGGGGTAGTGTTAGCACATTTGTAACCTAATACAGTAGTTGAGATTGTCCAGGGTCAGGTGCTGACTGTGATGAGTTAAGCCTATTACGCGCCACTGTTCTGTAGCTGCGGTCGTTATCACGATTACGCCTCCTGTCTATATGTGTCGTTGTCGTCGCGTCGGAGGCATTTAAAAGAAGAAAAAAAACTACAAATAAACAAATTATAGCTACACAAAACAACGATAAATGCAAAATTTAAGTTACAATCATGCTAACACGATCCGTCATAGCGACACAAAACAACGATAAAATACAGGAAGTTTAAGATACAACCATACTAACACGATCTGTCTTGGGGGTTATGTTTACACAAACTCAAATAGTAAATAAATATCAATGCGTTTCATTGAATCGGATAATAAATAACAGCAATTAAATTATACAGCTGATCAAAATGTAAACAATTATGTTCTTCATAAGGATAACATGGGAACTTTCAAGGCCACTGGGGCAGAGCCCAAGGGGGCTTTTTCAAAAATTTAAGGCCAGTTTGCAAATCTACGCGACACGCTCTTTCCAATGAGACGCTAATGGATAAAATCGGTTAAGAAATGGCGGAGGAGTTTAACCGACAAAGTTTCATGTAGCGTATTAATTATATAGATTTTGAGCATTTAGCATTGGTTTTTGTTTAAAGAGTAATAAGTATAAAAACAATAATGATATTAATTGCGTTGTTACCAAATATGATTGATCATTCAATGATGAAATATTTCCCATACCCTACGGCATCGGAGTTATTATTACTATGTTTCCTTATTATGTAGTCTTCCTTTGGAAGAACCTTTAAATAGCATTGACATTGTATTGGTGGAAGATAGGTACCTTTAGGCAAGGTTTCTGTGTTTTGATGTTATTAGACACGGTAAGAGCACAATAAACCTCTTCTGCGGATGAATTATCTGTTGGAGAAATATAAGCCGAATTATAAATTTCACAATGCGAGTTAGAGCATTTTTTAACTATATGGGTAAGTACAGAGTTTTTTTTAGACTGCTTCTCAGTGCACTTTAAGAATATATTTGTTCGAGATGAATTAAATAGTTTTTGTTGCTGAGTAGCGCTAGTAAACATGCACAACCCTTTTCTTTAGTCTTATTGAGCAGAGCGAGCGAAGCTCTTATACGTCGACTCTTATGCATTTCGTATTAAGCAAACTCCTCCTAGACGGCTGAATCAATCGTTTTCAAATTTTGCATGGTGATAAAGACCATATCGGTCAGTGCCAACATCTATATGGCGTTAAAAAAGTCTCTCAGGAATCCGCCCCACTGGGTCTCAAAGTTTCAATGCAATCCTTATGGAAGCAGTATTTGACACATAAACAAAGACATATGATCAGCTGTTGACTTTTGAATGCAGTAAATAAAGAAATAGCTGATAGAATTATTCCACAGATATTAGAACAGAAACGGCATGGATAATATTAAATATAATCAAATGACGACACTAGCTTGAAGTCCGAGACGTAGGAAGTGGTGAAGGAAATAGTAAAGGAGCTGTCCGGAGTGTGAGAACAATTAATGATGATTATATTAAGGTATCTGCAATACTAAAATGCTATTGGAAGGGAAGGAAACAGGTCTGCGACGTAGGAAGTGGTGAAGGAAGTAGTAAAGGCAAGCAGTCCGGAGTGTGGGAACAGTTAATGACGATTAGATTAAGGTATCTGCAATCCTAAAATGCTATGGGAAGGGAGGGAAACAGGTCCGTGACGTAGGAAGTGGTGAAGGAAGTAGTAAAGGTGAGCAGTCTGAAGTGTGGAAACCGTTAATGACGATTTATCTGCATTCCTAAAATTCTATGGGAAGGGAGGAAAACAGGTCCGCGACATAGGAAGTGGTGAAGGAAGTAGTCAAGGCGAGCTGTCAGGAGTGTGGGAACTGTTTATGACTATTAGATTAAGGTATCTGCAATCCTAAAATGCTATGGAAAGGGAGGGAAACAGGTCCGTGACGTAGGAAGTGGCGAAGGAAGTAGTAAAGGCGAGTTGTTCGGAGTGTGGGATCTGTTTATGACCGAAAGATTAAGGTACAGTATTTGAATTTCAATAAAGGTAAGGGAAGGGAGTGATACAGGTCCGCAACGTAGGAGGTAGTGAAGGAAGTAATAAAGGCAAGCAGTCCGGAGTTTGGGAACTTTTTATGACGATTAGATTAAGGTATCTGCAATCCTAAAATGCTATGGGAAGGGAGGGAAACAGGTCCGTGACGTAGGAAGTGGTGAAGGAAGTAGTAAAGGTGAGCAGTCTGAAGTGTGGAAACCGTTAATGACGATTTATCTGCATTAATAAAATTCTATGGGAAGGGAGGAACATAGGTATTGATTTAGGAACTGATTGAGACTGATTGAGACTGAAGACAACTTAAAGGAGGTGATTGATGATCTGAAAAACAATCATAAGGTTGCATTTGCAAACACTATCCCTGCAGATTTTACTGACACTAAAGCTTCAAACCAATTTAAAATCCATCTAACTGAAAAACCTATGTTTGATGTTATTAAAAATTACCAGCATGTCCAATCAGTAGGGTTCGCACACAGTATTTCAGCTGATTTTAACCATCCACGTCACATGACAGCAGGAGTGGCAGTTGTCTTTAGGCGACACTTTGGCAGACCAGAATCGCACCACTGCATTTCATCACATCTAGCAGTGCAATCCACTTTGCATTGTGCTACGGTTTACAGTTTGGTTACAAAAGCCAACTATTTTGGTAAACCGGACATATCTGACTACACAACAGCTTTTAAAGATTTGACTACAGATTTCAAAACCAAAGGGCTAAAACATCTTATATGCTCTCCCATCGGATGCGTAAGAGATAAAGTAGCGCTACCCCATTTCTTCAGTAACCTCAGAAGTTTTCAAGAATCTACAGGAGCGAGAGTAACTATTGTTTCATACTACCAAGAGTCCCTTAGACAACTAAGAAATGGCTTAACACATAGTGAATTTAACAACAGAATCCAGTCTTTTATTGATAACAACTTTAATAAAAAGGAAGAAGTGAATGTCAGTGCTGAATCATTAGAGGATAGGATAGCAGCCTGCATAAGATCACCTGTCCAGCCAACACCATATACAACAATAGATTGTAGGAGCCCAGACCCGTCATCGACCTGTCCAGCACCGCCTGCCTCAATAACACCTTCAGCAGCCCTACCAACACCTTCGACGCTGACACCTACCCCACCATCACGACCTTCAGTGGCAGCTGTGAATGAGAATGTGATCAAAGTAGTGCCCGGCAACTTCACCTTCTGTGAGTTGCTAAAGCAGAGCAAAAGTGATAGGCCAAGTGTGGAAGTGAATAAAGCTAGTTATGTACCACAATTGTTAAATTTAGAGGTAGATTCTGCAATTCAAAACGATACCATTAATTTTTTAGTAGATCAAGCAGCCCCCATTGTAAAAGTAACGTTAGAATAAGCAATTTATGTATTTTTCATCAAAACATTAGAGGGTTGCAATCATCAATTGAACCTTTAGAAGTAACTCTAACTGAACTAACACCTAGTATTGTTGTCTTGACAGAACAAAAAATGATAAGTTCTTCTCTGGAAAGATTAAATATTAATGGTTACAATGTTGCTGCCAGTTTTGGGCGGAAAAAATCTAGAGGTGGTGGCGTAATTATTTTAGCAAAACCATTTTTTACTTTTAAAGAAATTATAATACCTGAAATCCAAAATCTTGTCACTGAACAAATTTTTGAGTGTTGTTTAGTAGAGGTAGATAAAATTATCCCCAGGAAAAAACTTATTATAATTGGTTTCTACAGGAATCCAATTAAGCAAAATGAATCTGAGTTTATCAAACGACTCAATACAATGCTTGAAATAATCAGTGTTAAATATAAATATGTTATTTTTATGGGAGATATTAATATTGATATGCTGAACTTAAATGACACCACAGCTAATGGCTTCCAGTCATTGGTTGATTTTCCTACAAGAATCACCGATACAACTAAAACTGCAATAGATAATGTTTTTACAAATTTAGATAGCAGCTGTTATAAAATTACGGGTATTAATACACAACTTTCGGACCATGATGGCCAAATAATTGAAGTTTTTACTAATACGAAAAATA